TGCGTGATAGACTTGGACATGAGAATATCCGTAGTAGAACCTAAGTGAACGACATAGTCCGACGCATTTAAAAGCTGAAGTGGTATGTGCCGGCCATATAGCTCGAAAAACCGACGACCGATGGGGAAAAAAAGGTTTTCGAGTGGCAGCCTCGTACCGGTAGGCGAAGTGTAGAGCGACCCCCTACTAATTGGAGTGACGACCTTGTAAGACATGCAGTAAATCTATGGATGCAGGTGGCGCACGACCGTGATTTTTGGCATTCCTTGCGTTAGGCCTATGTTCAGCAGTGGACTTGTGAAGGGTTGTAATGATGATGATGAGGATGGCTCTACCGAATATAAAATATACTTAAGTCGAGTGTTTATCCTATACTTTTAACGGGTAATTCTTGTATGGTTTCTCGGAAACAGCTGTTACGACTTTGATAAAATTTTACATACAAGTTCATCTAGATAGGTGCTGTTCCAGATAAAATTTGTTTCTAACGCCGCGCCGCGCCGTGTAAAGCTCGGTCGCCCAGCTGTATGTAATTTCGTAAATTACTTTTTTATAATAATAATAAATTATTTATTTCGTCAAACATTAATCTTATACCTTAAAACCAGCAAAGAATATATATATATATATATATAAAATCGGAATCTCGGAAACGGCTCCAACGATTTTCATAAAATTTTGTGTGCAATAAATCGATCTAGCTAGGATTTATTTTTAGAAAATGTCTTTTTGTCCCTGTTTTTAGGCAATGAAAAACTGCTACAATATCGTTAGAATAAGAAGGTAAATTTTTTTAGTCTTTGTTTTTTTTTTTTTTTTTTTTTGGCTTACTGTTACATTATATGATCAGTGATCGAAGTTAGCTAGTAAGCAAAATAATGCCTGTAACAGGTGACTTCGCTCTTCCATAGCTAAGAATTACAATATTATTAACGAAATAAAATATCCTAAAGTATATATTCTTACGCCGTCACTATACGGTGAACTTTTTCAGTTTATTGAAATTATAGTCAAATTAAAGATTCAATAATGAATAAATTATACATTTTTTTATATGATAGGGTGACAAACGGGCAAACAGTCCACCTGATGGTAAGTGGTTGCTGTGGCACATAGACATCTACATCTGTCCTCGATTACGAATCAAAATGCAGATGCGTTGTCACCCGTGAGGACTAAGATGGAATGCCTCGTTTCCAGTAAAAAGGGTCTCCGGTTCTCTGCACTCACCATACGAAATACAGCAGCATTAAGCTACTATTTCACGCTGGTATTCTGTGAGAGCGTGGTCCTTCCCCGGTCGAGCCGACCCATTCGTGTTACAACTATACTTCTAATATAACTGCAGCATGGCTCTCCCACGTATACATACATTCACTGATACTTACATATATTATTACATACTATAGATTTGTCCTGGCTTCGCCTGGGTGGTCTCTATTAATGTCGTTTATGTCATCGTTTAGATTAAGGATAATCATCAACGATATTCTAGAGTGAAGTTTTATCACACTCGGTTGAGCTATCCCAACGTTAGCCCCATTGATTGGCAAACAAAATATGAAAACAACATGTGGATTTAATTTAAATTATAGATAGTTAGATAATAGCTGTATAGATTATATAATTTCGTAACAGAACACTATTATTACTAAGTGTCAGGAAATTCTTAAACTCGTGCAATTGGTTGTTATTTTTTGTTATTTTTCCAAACGTTTAATAAATGACTTTTTAAATGCCGCAGAAATTGCTTTATTTGGTAGAACCATTCTTCAATTAGTATAATTCATGTAATAAACCAGCAAATTAGTAATAAGTTTGGTCACGCAAACGCAATACGCGATATGAGTAGTGTCGATAGCTTAATCTATTAGGCTAACGTTCAGAAACAATCTAAACCCTGTAATGTTAAAATTCGAGTCCAGGCTATTTTACAAAAATGTTGCCATTCTGAAGTTTGAACTTAAACTCGAAATTATCTCTGAATACCGTCAACTTTAATAAAGACTAACGCCGGTATGTAAGATTTATGCCTTTTGTACTCAACATTTATAAACTAAGAAAGAATTTTATTTCAATAAAGCTATAAAAGAAATTCAATTAGTTCATTTCTTGTTAAAATTAAAATTATATTTGAACGGAAGTTATATTATAAAATGTTTTATTTTAGTCTTTTGTCAGTTTTCGTAGAAGTAAATTTTTAATTACAAAGTAAAAAGTACGAAATGTGAAAAGAACTAACCACGTGTAGTCAACCGGTTAAAGTTGTTGATCACGCAATTAATTATTTGTAATTATCCATTTTTTATATTATCTGCATCCGAAACTGACAATAAAGCAAATTATATGATTTTGGGGTAATCAATTAAAGCCTCCTTAGATTTATCGACATTGCTGTCTAATATCATAATACTAGCCATGCAGCGCAGTTAGCGCTACTAACGGGATGAGCTTTAGAACGATGTTTGTTTAACTTTTCGAGGAGGGGAAGCTTCTTTTCCAATTATAATTATCAGATTACACCAACATTTGTCAACAATTTCAAGTAGTGTTTATCGTTTATTAATTACCTGTCTTGTTTATAAAAGTTACACTCTATATTCGTCCCACTGACGTGCACAGACCTCCACTTTGAAAGAGTAGTTTAGCAATAAGTCCGCCGTGCTGCTGCATTGCGCGCTGCGAACTTTACATGTCCCCGATTTTTTTATTCCTTAGACATGCACGTTTTCTCACGTTTTCTTCCAACGCGGAGCAAGTGGTAAATGCGAACTAAAAATGAAAATGTTATTAAAATTACCTTTTCCCTCATCGATCACTAATAGTTTTTTATTAGTGATCGATGTTTTCCCTAGATAAATTTATTTCATACTAGTGATCCGCCCGGATTTACCTGGTTAGGATCTATTAATGTGGTAATATCCATTAATTTAATATTTTTTTAAATCTCGTATATAATACAGCCTAGATCACTCCTGACATAGCTCTCTATCGGGTCCTTTAGCCTGTTCTTTCAGCCATTCCGAAGACTAGCCCGAACACACAGACAGACAATTTTTTAACGGTTATTTATGATTTAATTACATGCAGACGAACCCTATGTTCAATTTATGGCAGTTATTTCAATATTATAGACAGACATCAATTTTATTTATATGTACTTATACAGGATGTTAGTGTAAACACCGTTATCCTTGAAATCAGTGGTTTGGTTTCACTTATAAAATGTAAATTCAATGAATTTAAAAAAAAACGCTATTTTCTTTCATAAAATTTTAAAAATTTCTGTCCAACACTGTCCGTAAATTCATGGATACCCTATGCGCCCGAGTGACGAAATCACTGTAAAGATCACCGCCCGTGCTAGCTACTGGTAGTTGCTGCGGCCCATAGACATCTACATCTATCCTCAATTACAAATCAAAATGCAGATGCGTTGTCACCCGTGAGGACTGACTGCCTGGCCACGGGACATTCGCCGTAGCGAAAATTCGCGCGGCGCGAACGGCGAGGCGTCTAGCGACTAAAACAAATGTATAGAAATGTATGGAGCAAGCTACGCGTAGCAGCGAGTGGCGGGGCGATGGGCGGCGCTTCGGGCGAATGAAACAAATGTATGAATCAGTACGGTGCAAGCCACGGAGTCGGGCGACAGACGCGGCGGCAGACGCGGTGAATAGTATAGGGAACAAAATATTTTAGTTGTTTTCGCCGCGAAAAATGCCGGGCCGACAAGAACAACTTAAAATTCTATCCGCATTGACTTTTATCTCCAATTCTGGTTGAATATTAACAAGAATATAATCGCAGGAATTTCAACACTCATTCTGGTATTTACTCGAATTTTTTTTTCTAGTTGCATTCTATTTGTTGTGGAATTCTCCATATACTCGTATAACCCGATTCCTATTCAAATCAAGCACTCCGCAATCTCTTCCAAATATTATGTCTTGAATCAAAAAACAATTACTTTCTAAGCAATTAACGGGATAACTTTGATAAAGACATTTCACTCTCGGCCTATCTGGTCGCGGCGGCAAACGTGACTTCCCGTGGCCCTCAAATCGCGCCGCGCGAATTTTCGCCCCGCCTGTCGCTTCGCCGTTCGCGCCGCCGATCCCCGTGGCCAGGCCGTAAGATGAATCGAAACGAATCGTTTCCAGGAAAAAGGGTCTTCGATTCTCTACACTCACCATACGAAACACAGCAGCATTAAGCAGCATGGCTCTACCACGTATAGGAGATATATATATATATATATATATGCCTAATAGTTGCCATCTCCCTCCTAAATATTAGGGTTTCAAAATCAACCATACTCAAAACGAATAAAGAAGAACACATAAGAGTAGTACCCGTGACTCTTTTATAAAGCCAACGAGCAAATTTACGTTGTATCCTCTCTAATAAGAGAGTATACTTTTTCTCATAAGGATGCCAGACCGCAGCTGCATACTCTAGTTTACTTCGAACATACGCATTATACAAAGTTTTATATCATTCAGCAGTCCTCACCACAAAACCCAATGTCTTACTAGCTAACTTACAAATGGATATCATGTGATTGTGAAAATCTAATTTCGTATCTAATATTAAGCCTCAATCACTTGTGTCATACACTCTTGCCAAAGACGCGTCATATAAATTATAATTAATGTTTTAATGCAAGTGATAACCTTGCATTTAGTCTCATTCAGAGGAAGATGGTTCATCTTACTCCATTCCGCTACCGCATATACCTATGTCCTGTTGAAGAGCCTGTGCATCAACAGCACCGCCAATTCCCAAGCTTAATTTTAGACCATCTGCGAATAATAGACATTTCGCTGATTTTACTTTGGTAGGCAAGTAATTTATAAAAATTAAAATTTATCTGAATATGAAAGTGACTGAATAGAGAGTGCGCCGGTACGCACACACACGTGCACTATTATTCTGTCCGGAGGACATTATTATTATTATGAAGATGATAACAAGTAAAAAGTTACTTTACTTTCCAGCATCGAGATCCAAGTAAAAAGAACGAGGTAGATATGAAAACTCGAGAAGAAATTCTATCTCTAATATCACATCACGTTGAAGCAGTTAACTACATATATAGAGATACGAAGTTCGACGGACGCTTGGAGCATAGAAATATTAAGTTTGAAGTCCAACGAATCAAGGTGAGTTGAATTCCTTGAAAGAAACCAGGTATTTAAAAGGATCATTTCAAATGAAATGAATCACTGGAAAATTGTATGGAACACTATAATTTTATTTTTGTCTGAAGTCATTAACTCTTACCTTCAATTCAATTTGACCATCATAAAATGTAAACGTCACATAATTATTGTTATTGCTAAGTATTAGGCAATACTTTTAATCAAAACCTTTAATTTGTAGAATTATTTGTATTTATTACTTCATGTTTAACCCATAAATAATACAACTTGACAACTCTCTGATGACGATTTTCAGATTGACGACGATTCAATGTGCAACCCGCATCACTATTCCACGGAGACCAATCAGTTCTGTTTAGAGAACATCGATGTGTCTAATTTCCTAAATTTGCACTCGCTAGGCAACCACGAAGACTTCTGCCTTGCTTATGTGTTTACTTACCGCGACTTCACAGGAGGCACTTTAGGTAAGTAACATTTTTAAAAATGATTGCTGTAATACATTATCTAATAGATGAGACCTAGTTATTATATAAAACTTTACATTAAAACTCTGCAACATAACGATTATAGGCTGTTAAGGATTATGGGCAAAGGTGATAAAAAATCATATATCTATTTTACATTTATTGTCATGGAGAGTTGTATACTAATTGAGAAGCTTTTGACTATTATTGGACCAAAATTTACTCTAAATTTACACCTATATTTAAATATCTTTGTTTAAACCATATCTCAAGGCAATAAGTTTTGAAATAAGCATCGAGTCAGTTAAATTAAAATAAAGTCTTATCATCTTACATAGTGTTGTGTGCACGGTGAGAAAACGCCGAATAGGATGAAAAATTTGTTGTATTCCCCCCCCCCCCCCCACACACACAAACACGCGCGCGCACACACACACGCACACACACACACACACAGCAAATTTAAAAATACGTCTTCCTAAGTCGCAAACTTTGATATCATAGTCATAGGTCTAATTCTCGTAGCCGCTTTCCGGAGAAGAGTTCAAAAAATTAAATATAGAACTTTCTAGGCCAATCCAGGTCGTTCCACTCTTACGACCGGAAAGTACTAGAGCACTCGTGATAACACTACCATAAAAATATTCAAAGGAGAAAAGGTTTTATTCACGTAGGGACATAAGGTTGCTTGCATTAATAGTCCGAGCGGTATCTATTTTTATGCCTACAGCTCAGACAAAGTAATAAAAAAAGGCAGATATCGCACATAGAACAAGAAACTGTAACCAATTTTATAACTTTGTGTGAGTGAGAGAAGTGTTGCCACTTTTTTTAAGTCCCTGAAAATCGAGATACAATACTACAACTACAAGAGTAATGTGCGATGCGACTGCCAAAATATATCTGTCTGTTTTAATAAATTTCAACAATTTGACAATTAAAAAAAAAGATGAAGCACGTAGGAAGCGTTTGTAGATTATTTAAGTCTTCTTGATAGATTGTTGTCCAGTAAGCATCGATAAAATATACAACATATTATGTAATGTGAAACATGTTTATAAAAACATGTCTTAATACTAAAAAAATTGTTGGAATAAAAAATAAATTTCTATGGAATTAAAAATATACTTTTCTAAATGTAAAAGAAGTATATTTTAGTAAATGCAAAATAGAACAAACTCCAGCCGGGGGCACAAAGGAGTATTCTAATTTGTACCCCGGGTAGGAGAGATATGAAGTATCAGCCGGAGAGGACACCTGAGTCTCAATTAAAAGGAGCAAGGCCGGCTTCGCGGTCTCCGGGTGGTAGTGGACAGCATTAAGATTGGAATGAAGTGTCCTGATGTTGCAAAAATTCACGGATAGTGTGACAAGGGTCGCCTTGGTCTTATTGCTCCGCTTGCCTCTAGCAGTTTTAGTCGCGAGCATATGTTAAGCAGCCTAAGCACCCACGCTCAGAAAGAGTAAAGTAGCTTGGTTGTGAAAGCTCAGCGAGGGATTCTCCGTCACCAGGAGTGAGGGTACCCTCTTGGGGTAGTTTTTATTTGATTCCGCTACGATGTTAAGGAGGAGGGGGAATTGGGGCTCCAGCCCAAGCGAAACGCAGGGCTCATACCACCCCGGTTCAAGCTGGCCCATCCATGCGACATCACTAGCCGCTGCGTGGCTCTACCACTGTCGAGTAAAGAGGATGGCTGCCATTTTGGTTCATTTCAGTTCAGTCATATAGCAGCTACCCTTCATTTTTTTATAGGATAGGGTGACAAACGAGCATACAGTCCACCCGATGGTAACTGGTTGCTGTGTCCCATAGACATCTACATATTATATATCCTCGATTACTAATCAAAATGCAGATACGTTGTCACCCGGGAAGACTATGATGGAATGCCTCGTTTCCAGTAAAAAGGGTCTCCGGTGGTCTACACTCACCTTACGAAACAGCAGCGTTAAGCTATTATTTTACGCTGGTATTCTGTGAGAGTGTGATCCTTTCCCGGTCGAGCCGATCCATTCATGCTATGACTATACTACTAATAGTATAACTGTAGCATGGCTCTACCACGTAAAAAAATCATGTCTTATTAAAATATTCGTTGGTAGCCTAAAATCATAAATATTTTTTAATAGTTAAATAGTTTGTAAGTACTCAACAATTAAAATAGAAACATCAGCGACTTAAAAAATTAAATATTTACCTTGACTTCAGTTTGATGTAACATAATAACAACTAATTAAAAAAATATGCTGACTACATATATTTTTATAACTTAGCCTAAAATTAATTACCCAAATCTTGGACCAATAGAAATAATAAATACTGGCAACATTCTCCCGTTATGTATGATCTCGATACATTGACATTCGTGCTTCGAATAACCTTCAAAAATGTGTTGGAATAACAAATTAAAATATAGTTAAATGAGTGTTTACGAGTGAAACGATATTGCTTTAGACTTTTGTTCACTTTAGTATTGTTTTTGCACCATTTAACTACACAGGACGGCATTTTGTAGGCAAATTTACTGCACGACGCCCCGGGAAGTACTGAGCGAAAATGAGCGTAGTTTGATGCATGTGTGTGCGTGAACGCGTGTGCTTACATAAAGGAGCGGAGTTTTTTGGCTTCACCAGTAACAAAGGCTGCTCTGTATCTACCTTTTTTTACTTCATCTGAGGCCTACAGATTTTATTATTTATCGTCGTGAACATTTGATCCGCAATGTGACGTTATATGCAACTGGCTGTCGAAACACTACCTCCCTCCTAGATATGTTCGCCCTGATCATCATGGTATCGTGCTAGTCGATCAATGTGTGCTACCTTTAGTTTTCCTCCTTGCGCTTTCTTGATGTGGATTGTGACATCATTAATCCTTTTTAGCATCTTGTAAGGTCCTTCACATCGAGCTTGCTACTTGGGACTCTCCTTTTTTCCGAAAGGTATTGTGTAACCACTAACCACACGAGAGTTCTCTCATCAAATCCATTTGTGTTTGCTCTCCAATTATAACGAGTCTTCATCCTTTCACTAGTCTTAAGGTTAGTCTTCCGAACTGTTGATTAAGTTCTCTAATAAGTAATCTAATAATAATAATAAGTTATAAGTCACAAGCTTTGAACTATTTGGTGGAGAACCCGTTATAGCGTTGACGGGAAGTCTTATTTCCCGTCCAAAATTTATAGCAGACCGATGGGATAACAGAGGCACAGGTATATACTGGTCCCAATTCTTTTGATTCTCATCAACTACTTTGTCCAGATTATTTTCCATGGTTTGATTGAACCTTTCATCCATTCCATCTGATTGTGGCTGAGCTGTGATGTGCGAGTTTCATATATCCCGAGAAGGGCATACACCTCTTGAAAGGGAACCGATTCGAAGTTCCTCCCTTGATCGGAGTGTACTTCCAAAGGTACGCCATACCGATAAATCACTTCTTGAACTAACTTCCTTGCAACTTTCTGAGCTTCTTGATTAGGAGTAGCAAAAAATTCGGGCTTTTTTTGCTGAAGTAATAATAAATAATTTTTACCATCGTCAGTTCCCGGAAATGGCCCGGCCAGGTCTATAACTGCGATCGCACGGTGCTCCGACATTGTATAATTTCAATTTTCCTCAATTTCGTGTTTTTGGGTCCTTAACCGAAGCACATACAAAAAAGCTGCCGCCGCCACCAACAACAACACCACCACCACCGCCACCGCCACCACCGCCACTACCACTACCACCACCAGAACAGATTTATGCCGATGTTCAAACGTATCCTGCAGTTCACATCATCACCATCATCATCACCGCCACCACCACCACCATCATAATCATCATCATCTACATCGTCGTTGTCGTCGTCATCATCACAATTATGCAATGTGTTTTCGATACCATTCTTCAACATCTGCACTGCAATGCACCAAGTAAAAGTAGTGTCATACTTTCATGAAGGTTTTCTTTACTCCAAGATGACCACACGAAACTCCGTCATGACTATGGTGCAATAAAGAACTGACTTTACTTCGAGGGACTATGACCTGCATTGTGACTTTACCACCTTCACTAGGCTCCCATTACCTGTACAAAATTCCATTTTTTAGGGCCAAGCTATTCCATTGAGTCCTATAACTTTTTGCAACAGGGCTAGAGAAAGACAATCAATGGGCATTGATGTTTTCTTCCTGTTTTCATCATTGAGGTTTCCTTGTGCTTTTCTTATATTTTCTCCACTCCCGTCATCTTCTATTGCATTAGTTCAGATGATGTTTGCTTTTTCTTGTGTGAATGACGTGTTTATGAAAGTGCCGTAGGGTCTCTACAACAGCTAGCAATTCCCGACGCGTAACACAGTAATTGCTTTCCTGTTTAGAAAGCGTCTTGCTGAAGTATGCGATCACAACTTGTGTATCCTGTTGTATTTGTGATAGCACTCCACCCATTCCTGTATTGCTAGCGTCTTTATCCACAAAAACCTTCCACCTCTGGTCGAATATACCAATACTGGTGATTCACAGAAGCGTTTCTTTAGATTGTTGAAAGAACTTTCACAGTCCGCATTCCAAACGAACGCCTGCTTGTCTTCCGTCCGTTCTTAACGAAATGCCTATAATACGCGCATAAGGCAAGAAATGATCTTAGTTGAGTTTTATTTCTCGGTGTAGGCCAAGATTGTACGGCTCTGATTTTCTCTGGACCGGTTTGTACCCCTTCTTCGGAGACAATATGGCCAAGATAACTCACTTTATTCTTGAAGAAAGCACATTCTGTAACACTAAATTTCAGGTTTGCATCTCGGAGACGTGTGAATAACTTTTGCAGATTTTTAGATGTTCTTCAAGATTACAGCTCATTATGATAACATCATCCAGATACACTATACAAGTATCTCCCAAAAGGCCTACCATAAATCGGTCCATAAAGCGTTCAAAGGTTGCAGGCCGAATGGCATGACTTTGATTTGCTATATCCCACTTCTAACCCCCATACTAAACGCAGTCTCCTCTTTGTCCTCTGGACTTATCTCTACCTGCCAATACCCGCTTTTTAAATCAAGCGTCGAAAACCACTTGAGTCCATTGAACATAGCAGCTTGTCATCTATTCGTGGTAGAGGATAGCTGTCTTTTTTAGTCACACTGTTTAGCATTCGGTAGTCTACGCAGAACCTAGTAGTACCATCCTTTTTCTTCACCAGTACTACTGGTGATGACCACGGACTTGTGGATGGTTCAATGACATTTTTTCAGCCATATCCTTTAACATCTCTATAACTTCCGCCTCCTTTACCAATGGGATCCGGCGAGATTTTTGCTTTATACGTCTGGCATCATCAGTATCTATTTTATACTTTACTAGTCCGATCCCACCAGACACACTATCGGTGGCGAAAATGTCTTTAAATTTCATTGAAAGACTATTTTCTTGTGACTACTGAGTTGATGTTAAGTTGTCTCTTGAATGTTCCAGCAGCTTTGATATTAGGTACTCCGTGTTGGTCGTCGTACTGGGTGTACTAGTAATTCGTCTTAAATACTTTAATTCTGGCCGTTCACAAATTATGCTATTCTTTTTAAGCGAACTTCTTCATTGCTAATATTCAAAATTCTTTGGCTGTTTTATTAGTTACCGGTTAGGTTCCGGCCATTACCCACATTGGATGTTTGAATTTTGCCATTACTAGATTTTCTAATCTTGGTGCAAGCGTAATATCCTTTAAACAGTAAAGTTTGCAAGAGCTGGATCCTTCTGAAAACACTTCTTGATCAGAAAATTATAGCACTCCCCGATCGACATCTACAATACACCGCTGGTTCTTTAAGAAATCCAATCCCAAAATGCAGTCATCGGTGATATTGGCAATCAAGAGTTACTGTGTCACAATTGTGCGCCATGCTCCTGTGTCAATCGTAAATCTGCAGATTTTTCCATTTAAATTGTCCTCGATGATAAGACTTTTCCCATTGCATGCTTGTATGGTGGGCTTCGTTGCCAAGCCAGCGCCTGGCCCGCGGCTCTGGTGAATTTTTTTATAGGATAGGGTGACAAACGAGCACACAGTCCACCTGATGGTAAGTGGTTGCTGTGGCCCATAGACATCTACGTCTGTCCCTGATTACGAATCAAAATGCAGATGCGTCACCCGTGAGGACTAAGATGGAATGCCTCGTTTCCAGTAAAAAGGGTCTCCGGTTCCCTATACTCACCATAGATAACACAGCAGCATTAAGCTACTATTTTACGCTAGTATTCTGTGAGAGCGTGGTCCTTCCCCGGTCGAGCCGACCCATTCGTGCTACAACTACTAACATAACTGCAGCGTGGCTCTACCACAACAACTTTAGTTTAACTATTCCTCCTCAACTTGGGTCTCGGAGTTTGAGAATCGTTTCCTCTTGTTTTGGCAATTAAGCCTGATTATGTGTCCTTTTTCACCGCACCTGTAACATGTCAGACTATAATAGTGCTTCTTTTCTTCCGTTATCAATTCCCTTTCTTTGTATGGTTCCGTGTCGCGTCGCACGGCTTCAACCTCCAATGCATGTGCCGGTGCGCTCTTTAGAGATTGCTGGTGGCCTAGTCATTCTGCTGCTTGAACCTCGACTTCCCGAATGCCGTCAACAAAAGCCTGAAGAAGAGTCACCTCTATAACAGATGGTGCTAACACATAGTCGCGACGAACCAGTCTCTCTATCAACACAACCCACTGTTGCAGTCTTTTGGTTTAGGCGACTTGAACGCGATCTCGTAGTCGAACTCTACAAGCTTGCTCCATATGTTTCTCAAGGATTTTACTTCAATAGGCAGCCGCTCAAGAATAAGCTGGGCGTCATCTCTTAGTGTTTAGGCTAATGCTATGAATGCTTTTTCCTCACTCCGGCCACTACCCTTGGAGGGGGTGTTAAAATGGTACTTGTAAGCAGCCCGTGACGATGTCCCGTCAAAACGTGGTAAATCACATTTGCCTAATGTCGGTGCCGGTGCAATCTGGAGCGAGGGACACTAACTGATTTCCAATTTTTGAAAATCCCCAGAGAGTCCATGAAGGCGGCAATCGATGCTGTTGAGTTCGTCTTCATGCGTTCTTTTATTTCTTTTTCTACCGTTTTCATCCTATCACCAAGCATTTGAAGCCTTGTGTCTAAATGATTACTAATAAAATTTTGTAATTCTTGCTGGGAGGCTAGCTGCTCTTTCCGAGCGGCTTCTTGTTCTTGACGAGCCGCTACCAGTTCTTTTTGAACTTTCTGCCGAGGGGCTTGATGGGTGGCCAATAACGTAGTCGTGTTGGTGTATCGTAATGCCAGCCGGTGAGATTGCTAAATGAATCAGTTTGAAGTCAGCAGTACGGCCCCTCAACTTTTCCTGTTCCTGTTGCCGTACAGCATCCACCTCCGCTTGCCTCCTAGTGCGTGGAGTACGCTTTTCTTCTTCCCATGGTGGTATCGAAATTCCGCTTCTGACAAAAATTGTTACATGCGGGGTGAGTAAAAACGCTGATTAAGATGAAAAATTGATGTATTTTCCACAAACACAGCAATTTTAAAAATATGTCGTGTAAAATCGCGTAGATGTTCGGTGAGGTCCTTCGCAGATAATCTAAATAATTCTCGTAGTCACTTCCCAGAGTAGAGTTCACTTTCGAGTTACCGAAATAATTAACTCTCCGCTTTTCGGCACACTCTTTTATACTAAATGAAATGAATATAGAACTTTATAGGGCAATCCAGCCCTTACGACCGGAAAGTACTACAACACTCGCGACAACATTACCATAAAAATATTCAAAAGAGAAAATGTTTTATGCACGTAAAAATAAAGTTGCTCTTTGCTTGCGGTAATAGTCCGAGTCGTTTCTATTTTTATGCCCACACATTTTACCACGTATGGCAATTCACAATGCTGTGTTGGTCCCTACTTTAACGTATGGTAGTGAAAGTTGGGTGTGGCAGAAGAAGCACGAGAGTAGAATCAACGCAGTAGAAATGCGGTCGTTAAGGAGTATGTTAGGGCTGAATCTGAACGACAGGGTAAGAAATTGTGTAATAAGAGAAGAGTGTGGTTTGCAAGATGATGTTGTGACCAGGATTAAGAAAGTAATGCTTCGGTGGTTTGGTCATGTGGAAAGAATGAATGATGAAAGAGTGACAAAGAAAATTTATGTTGCAGAAGTGATTGGCAGAGTCGGAAAGGAACGTCCTAGGCGAAAATTTATCGACCAAATTGACGATTTATTGAAAACGGGCCAAATTAGGAGTACCCTTAACCGACGAGCATGTATGCGTAGGTGTATGGATGTGAAGGAAGCGAGAGAGGTGTGTCAGGATCGTGCCAAATGGAAGTCTGTAGTCTGCCTACCCCTCTGGGTGACAGGCGTGAGTGTTTACGTATGTATGTACATTTTACCATTTATCGTCGGGAACATTCTTGTTCATTGTAACATATGCAACTGGCTGTCGTTACAATAGGATAAAGTTGGGGTTTTTTGTATGCATTTATCGTCATTCGCCAATTAAAGACTACGTTTGCACTCTTTGACAGTGGCTCAGGCGTGATGGTAACCACAGTTATTATTTATAATTGTTATTAAAAAAGGTACTGTGATTTACCACACTGTGAAGGAAAAAATCGTGAGGAAAACTGCATGTCTGATCAATTAAAAAAAAATTATTTCTAAGTCATGTAAAGTCAGCCAACACGCATTAGAGCAGCGTTGTGATACTTTCCTGGTTCTTGCCCTAAAACAGAAATCAGAAGAAGCCTGTTAAGAAATGAAAGGAAGCCTGTTAAGAAATGAAAGGGAACCTGTTCCCAGGAGTGGGACGTATATAGGCAGTAATTTTATATTTCTTACTTTACAATACTATTTTCTTTTATTACAGGTCTGGCCTGGGTAGCAAGTGCCAGCGGAGCGTCGGGCGGAATTTGCGAGAAGTACAAAACGTACACGGAGACAAACGGTGGAATGTACCAGAGCACGAAGCGATCACTCAACACCGGCATCATCACATTTGTGAATTACAACAGCAGGGTGCCACCCAAAGTCAGCCAGCTCACTCTCGCGCACGAAATCGGACATAACTTCGGATCACCGGTACATAAAAATTGATCATCATCACTATCATCAATGCAGCCTATGGTAAATCCACTGTTGAATTTAAACATCCCCTCCAGAGAGACAAAGCACGCCCCTAAACCATTTGCATCCATCAACATCAGGTCTTCACTTCATCTAAAGTGGAGGGGGGTTCACCTAACACTGCACTGAGACTGCCATCAAAACGCATGATAATAGAAAACCCATAAAAGCGAACGCGTTCTTCTGTACCTCTAGGAATGGTACCTGTATCATTTTTTTAACAGCGTAAGCAGCCGTATTACCAAAAGTTAAATTTAGTCTGCAAAAAGTACCAGCATAGAATTTTAAACTGTGGGCGCCAAAAGCGGATTGTTCACGCTTTAAAAGTGCAATTTTTTGTCATTAAAAACTACAAATTCACATTTTTTAAATTCATTATGAAAGTTAAAGATTTTTCTTAGTGAATTATGGTAACCAAAACACGATTGACACATTTTGGCTCCATAGAAAAAGATCGCAAAATTTCCTCAAAATCTTCAATTTTAGGTACGTCCACAAGTGAAAAAGCAGTTTCATTTGAATTTAATGAAATCAATTTTAATTAAATTCAGGCTATGTGTTCACCACTAAATACGTGAGTGAATTATGGATTTATTTTTCAATAAAAGAGTATATATCATTTTTAAAAGAAATATCAAATAAATATTGTGCGATTAAATAGCGCGCGGGTTGACCATACAGTACATATAAAGCGTGAAAAATCTGCTTTTGGCGCCCACTTCACCTTAAACGTTATTCGCAATAAGCGCCATGCATTCTTGGGCACTCTATCCATTATGTTACTTGGTAGAGCCACGCTGCAGCTATATTATGGTTACAGTACGAATGGATCGGCTCGACTAAGTTAGGAACACGCTTTCACAGAATACTAGCGTAAAATAGGTTCATGCTGCTGTGTTTCGTATGGTGAGTGTAGAGAACCGAAGACCCTTTTTACTAGAAACTAGGCACTCCATCTTAGTCTTTAGGGGTGACAAAGCATCTGCAATTTGATTCATAATTGAGGATAAACGTATATGTCTCTAGGCCTCAGCATCCGTTTGCCATCGGGCGGACTGTGTGCTCGTTTGTCGTTCTTCTTCGATCTTAAAAATAAAGATTTATAACTCGCAGCACGACTACCCGTCGGAGTGCCGGCCGGGCGGGCAGCAGGGCAACTACATAATGTTCGCGTCGGCGACGTCGGGCGACCGGCCCAACAACGGGCGCTTCAGCGCGTGCTCGGTGGGCAACATCAGCGCCGTGCTGGACGCCGTGCGCGACGGCCGCAAGCGCAACTGCCTCAGCGCCAGCGAGGGCGCCTTCTGCGGGAACAAGATCGTCGAGGCCGGCGAGGAGTGCGACTGCGGTGCCTATCTCTCTATTATTTTTAACTATCTATAGCCTTTTCCACACGGATAACTTTGGACGCCATATCCTACAAAGCGTCATAGCGATTGGAGCAAACAAATAATTTTTGCGATATAATTCCCATTTTCAAGATGCGATACATACTGTGTTAATTTTATATAGGAATGCAATAAATGTTTTAACATAATACATAAGCACTCACGCCCGTTACCCAGATGCGTTAGAAGAGACTACGGACTTCCATTTTGCATGATTCTGACACACCTCTCTCACCTCCTTTGCATCTTCCTCTCACCCATTTGCATGAGTACCTAACTCATACACGCTCGGCGATTACTTAAACTTCCATCTAGAGCGCCCCTTGCTAATTCTGTCGTTCACTTCTACAACATAAATTTGCTTTGTCACTCTTTCTTCATTCATTCTTTCTGCAGGACCAAACCACCGAAGCATTTCTTTCGTAATCCTCGTCACAACATCGTCTTGCAAACCAGACTTTACTTTTATCACTCAATTTCTTACTCTATTGTTCAAATTTATCCCTAACATACGAATTAACGACCGCATTTCTACAACATTTATTGTGCTCTCGTGCTTCTTCTGCCACGCCCAACTTTCATTACCATAAATTAAGTTAGGGACTAACCCAACATTGTGTACCCATTTTTATTGTATTTTAGTATACGTTACTAGTGATGACATATGGATCGGAGGTGTCGTCCTTTTCTGTTGGCCGTATGGGGAAAATTTCAAGGTTGCTCAGCTAACTATGGTGAGATCTATGCTTGGAATTTCTGTGTGTGAGAAACTTCGTAATGAGCAGCAGAACCCGAGTAACCAACATGACCCACTGTATCAGCAAGCTGAAGTGGCAATAGGCCAGCCATAAACTCGAAGAATCGACAATCGATAGGGAAGAAAGGTTCTCTAGTGGCAGCCTTGTACCGTAAATACGTAAGCTAATTGGAAGTCGCCCCCCTCATTGATGGAGTGACGAGCTGCTAAGACATGCAGGTTCGATGGCTCAGGACCGTGCTCTGTTGCATTCCTTGCATTCCTTGGCTGTAGTGATGGTGATGTGGAGGCTATATTTGTTCCTTTGGCTACATAGAGTTGATCAGTTGACTATTAAAACTATGGTTTGATTAAGTTCATTATTATATTCATTTAACTATTAATTAGGTTACGACGAGAACGAATGCAAAGATCACTGCTGCTACCCGCGACAGCTAAGCTCATTCGACAGAGAGAGGAATAGCACCGCTAAGGGATGCACTCGAAAAGCGAATACTCAGTGCAGGTAAATTATTTGTGAATCAATTTACATAGTATTAAATAAAAAGAATTACGTACGTAATGATAATAAAATATCGGTAATCGATGACAAATAATAATAATATACTATCCAATAAATGTTAGCTGGTAGAGAATTCCATATAGCATTAAGCTCGCCTTTTGTACAAAATCTTTGGTGCAATAAAGAATAAAATAAATAAATAAATAAATATCCTGAACGATGGCAGCTATAACACTCTTATTCTCATTTTATATATTTACAAAGTCAGCTTATACTTCATTTACAGAAGTAAATTAAAGTTATGTTAGCGCTGAAGCTCTGTGAATATTTCGATGTAAAAAAAATCATAATTAGTTAAGAACGTATGGTTATTGGAAATTTTTAAGTTGAATCAGGTGTGACCATCAAGAAGACATAATTCTTCGTTATTTATTTGTGTAATATATTCATGTAATATATCATGAAATGATGAATTAAGTAACAAAATGTAGATGTGTTGAGGATTAAGATGGAGTGCCTCATTATCAGTAAAAAGGGTCGGTTCTCTACACTCACCATACGAAACATAGCTGCATTAAGCCGGTATTCTGTGAGAGTGTGGTGCTTTTGTGGTTGAGCCTACCTATTCATGGTGCAGATATAATATTAGCTGATACCCGCTCGCTTCGCTAAGCGCACGATAATATTTTATTGCGGAACCTAGATGCAAAATATCAAGAAAATATTCTTTTGATGAGACTATCGTAAAATCCGTTCTTAGTGAAAGTTGCGAAATTAGTAGCTATACTAAATTTAAAGTCAATCGGTCAATCGGTTGTGTAGTTTTAAAGATTTTGTGATGAGTCAGTCAGTCAGTGGTGTTTCGCTTATATATATATACAACATGTCCCAAAATTCAACGATAAGCCAACACCGGAGGATATACCTGCCCCGGACTAATCGGGGAAAAAAAGAAAAAAAATATATCTCAATTATATTTTAAGTTATATAAAAAAAATTAAATTCTTCAGAAATTGAGACCGTTTACGATAGTTTTCACTACCATGACCACAATTTTTTTAATATTTGTTTCTTTTTTTTTATAGGCAACCTCCAACCAAAATCCAGAATAACTCTTGTTTTATCACGAAAATTAATTAAACTTATTTTATTCCCTAAATTTTTTGAAGAATTTTACTTTTAACAAACTTTAACTTATCGTGGTATAAAAAAAAGCATGAACACTAGTATGGCAAGTTTTTTTTAAAAATTGACGCAACTAACCAACATTCCAAAATGGTATAATACTCTAGGAAAACAAGTTATAAAAAAATATGGGCCTATTATTTCTTAATAGACCAATTTCCAAATGACGGCAAATACGCTAATATGCATTTAATCTATGGAGAATGCAGAAGTAATGCTAACGCTGCTGCTGGAATACCATGCTCAAAGATATCCTGATTATCGAGTGTTTATTAATGTGCATCAAGCATTTTCGGAAGGTCGTATGCCATCCAATAGGAGAAGCGCTGGAAGACCGAGATTGGATCGTGATGAAGAAGTTCTCAATGAGATAGAAAATGATTCGACTACTTCGGTACGTGCCATAGAAGAAGCTACAGGAATCCCGAAAAGTTCTGCACATCGAATATTAAAACGTCACAAGCTTCACCCATATCACTACAGGCGTGTGCAGACGTTATTACCGCGGGACTATCCGCTACGAGTCACATTTTGCCGTGTGATGCTACAAAGGCACAGTGAAGATCCCCAATTCCTAGACAAAATTCTATGGTCGGATGAAACAACATGCAAGAAGGATGGGTATTTAAATCTTCACAACCTACATAGTTCCCCACTTGATGAGACAAGACAAATCCCAATATCAATTCAAGGTTAACCTATGGACCGGCATATTAAATGAAAAAGTAATTGGGCCCTTTGAGTTACAAGGAAACTTAGATGGCAATAGTTATTTAAACTTTTTACAAAATGACTTGCAAGAATTGTTAGACGACGTGCCCTTAAGTGATCTCCAAAACATGTGGTTCCAAAATGATGGTTGCCCAGCACATTATGACCATCCTGTGCGAGAATATTTAAATCAAGAGTATCCAGGGCGTTGGATCGGGCGACTTGGTCCTATCTTATGGCCACCCCGTTCACCCGATTTAAACCCCCTGGACTTCTTCTATTGGGGTTGTCTTAAAAACAGGGTCTACTCAAAACCCATTGCGACATTGGACGAGCTTCGTCGAAATATCAATCAGGCTGCTGATTACATTATTAGCAGAAGATGTGCAAGACAAATTAAACGATCACTTTTAAGGCGATGTCGTGCATGTATTAATGCTGGCGGCAAGCAGTTCGAACATTTGCTATAATGTTAATAACTTAATAAATTACACGTGAAACTGTTTGTACCATTTGTTTTGAAATATTAAACATTTTTCAAGAACTAATATTTTTATTACACCCGACCGTCATTTGGCCCCTGTTAAGAAATAATAGGCCCATATTTTTTTATAACTTGTTTTCCTAGAGTATTATACCATTTTGGAATGTTGGTTAGTTGCGTCAATTTAAAAAAAAACTTGCCATACTAGTGTTCATACTTTTTTTTACACCACGATAAGTTAAAGTTGGTTAAAAGTAAAAGTCTTCAAAAAATTTAGGGAATAAGTTTCTGGATTTGGTTTGGTCTGGTTTGGTTATTCTGGATTTTTTATGAATTGTGGTAGACAGCAGTGCTATTCAGGTTGCCTATAAAAAAAGAAACAAATATTAAAAAAAATGGTGGTCATGGTCAAAAATATCATAAATGGTCTCAATTTCTGAAGAATTTCATTTTTTTATATAACTTAAAATATAATTGGGATATATATTTTTTCTTTTTTTCCCTGATTAGTCCGGGGCAGGTCTATCCTCCGGTGTTGGCTTATCGTTGAATTTTGGGACATGTTGTATATATATATTTATCCCCTCGGCTGTCCAAACGCCATATTCTGGCGTCTCAATTAATAATCGCATCTGTCAAACGCCGTAATACGGCGTCGAGTGATAGTATACTATTTGTAACATATATATGAGATATATAATATTGTTGCATGAATAAGTCATGCAACAATATTATATATCTCATATATGAAACCCCGGTAGAAAAGATGAAAACCCGGTATGACCGCAAAATGAACAACAAAGGGTTCGACGAAGGTTCACTTGTGTGGTTGCACAATCCAGTCCGCAGCAAAGGGAAATCTCCTAAGCTTCAAGCTAAATGGGACGGCCCGTACCGGATTGTAACCAGGATCAACGATGTGACCTACCGGATACAGAAAGGCGCAAGAGGGACTCCTAAGATCGTCCATGTGGATCGCTTGGCGCGTTATTATGGGACCGATAATGCTCGGGACGAGCATGTCTTAGGAGGGGGCAGTGTTGCATGAATAAGTCAACTAGCGCCATCTAGTGTCAGGAACGAGAGCGAGGGGAGCATTGAGAAAATGACATCACAAATCGCTCAACTGACAGCGCCTAGTCGAAACTCGAACGCTCGATACCTTCCGCGTGTTTACTTGAACATTCTGGATATTTCTTTGCTAATTCAAATATATAGGCGCTGCAAGATGCGATCGAGGCAGAGTGAACTCGGCGACACAAGCGAAGCTTCGGAGCGAAATAAAGGTGAATTAGTGTGTTTAAATTATTAGTGTTTTAACTTTAATTGTGTAAAGTAAATTAAAGTGTTAATTTAGGTAATTTTATCGGCAATTTTTATTGTCACGAACCTCAAGCTCGTAACAATATATATATATATATATATATATATATATATATATATATATATATATATATATATATATATATATATATATATATATAACATAATAATATATCTGCATGATTGATTTTGTCTAAATTTGATTTAATAATGTGTTTTTTTTGTGAACCTCCATATTTTTGTGCCGATGTCGAGTAGAGCTAAGTGAGGCCTTTCTCAAACAAAAACAAAAAAAATATGAAAAAAAATTTTTAATAACTAAATATGCTTTGGACGTACAAGTAAAACAAATAGTACTTGGAATAAAGGCTTTAATTTATAATTATTACATCTTTGCAGAAAATTGGGGAAAAAACACTTTTCTTACTTTCATTTTCAAATTAGTATCACTTTCGAAGTAAACCTGTATTCAAGTTATACATAATCTGATAGCTTATTTAATAAAGTTTCCATTGATATATGATTTTAATATACCTGTTATACAAAATGTCTTGGAAATAGTCATGTTAATGAACAGCAGGAAGTCGTCTGGAAGTACTTCTGGAAGTACTCGACAGATGCGCCATATTGGCCAAAATGACCCCGACATACGAGTGGGTGGAGATATATTGTAAAAGTGTTGGTGCTGCAGTCCGTCGCAGGGCCCGTGCTGCCAGTCGGAGTCGTGCCAGTTCGTGAGCGCGGCGCGCAACCAGACGTGCCGTGAGGCCACCGAGTGCAGCCACGCCTCCTTCTGCTCGGGCCGCTCCGCCGAGTGCCCCACGCCGCGCCCCATGGCCAACCACACCAAGTGCAACAACGGTCAGTACAATCTCTTTTGTTCACTACATTTGTTTCCGAGCGCGCATCGCTGAGCTTTCACCTTGATAAATATTGTTTTATACATGTATCACAAATACATCAAGAAAAGTTAATTGTTAAAAATAATAAAATTGTGAGAGCGGATATTCAACTCGCTCTCTTGCTTACGCAATTGATCGTTACAGCGTACTGCACTATACATTCAATATAGGCAATCACAGTTCGACTATACCGTAATATATCTCCGTCACAAGCCCACAGTACCTAAGGGACGGAAAATGATAACACCTCAATCATGTAATACAGAGCAGCCTCTCAGCAACACCATTCTTTCTTGCCTACACTTGAAGACGAACAGAACCACGATACTGTCTTTCTACGAGCCTTAGTAATTCTCTAATGACTTGGTGAACTCAGTGAACTTATATTGCACAAACGAGTGGGATATATCGATATACCCTCAATTCAACTACGCCACCATAGATATGACGCTCTGCTAAAGTGACACAATCTCTCGCTTACTCTCGATCGAATCGGTATTTTATAGACGCACCGTTACATGTATTTAAGGTTCAATATAATTTAAATTTGGATAATATTAACATTATGAAAATTGGAGATAAATCATATTTTTACTATTATCATAGTTATCATAGCTAATTACTAAGAACGTTTGTTTATATCTTACGTTTCTACTTTTAAAATTATAACTATCGAAAATCCACTAGTGAAAATAGGTTTCCCCCGTCGATCACCATGCAGAAGAAATATTGGTCACATTTGGCACGCCTGGCAAATTATTTTGAGTTAATAAAAGAGTAAGTAAAAGAAATTTGCCTCTGCCCATCTTCTGTTTTGTTTTTTACCTGTGTAATTTTCAGGTGAATTTCTGATCCGTTGTTATAACGTTTGTGAGAATACGATACGCAAAGAGATGTTCGTACATTCACGTCAAACTGAATGAAAGAATAATCGCGTGCATACTATGGTGGTACATCCATTTTGTATTTCATGAAACGCTTAGTAGTTTTGGGAGATACGAAATCGAACTGATTACGAATAAGACATAATGAATAGTCCATACAGTTTCTTTTCCTCTGGCTATGGACTTCTATGGTTATTTATACTTTTCGCCGTAGAAGAAAAAGAGGAGATCTCTCGCCGGGCAAGGTAATCGGTCCGGGGAACGGCAAAAGCTCTTTGTGATAATTTGGAGCTGTTCTATATAGAGCGCGGTCGCTTCAGAACTTTGAAGCGCAATTGAGCCCCTTGTGTGGCGACAGGCCAGATTCTGACCGATGGTTAATTACGCGCGTCTGGCAAGCGACCAGTTTCTGGCCAATCCGCGCCTGGGTATTTGGCGGGTAAAATAACCGGCGACAATGATTGCTATCACACGTTTACTTGTATAAAATTATACACTAAAGAACGAGGATGCGATAGAAAGCTACTAAAGTGCTACAATGTTTAGAAATTTCGAATAAACAGCCTGTGTGGCAGTCGTACGTGAATGTCACTTTTATGTGTTCGCCCGTCCTGGTTTTTGTCCTTTTTTTATTCGTAAATCAAACAAATAGTGAAGTTTGGTGCTATTTTAACATGGAAGGGTTAATAACCAACAGTTTTTAATTCATAATTTAGGGATATGTATCCTTTTTATGAAAAAAAAATTTCGAACATAAACGGCCGTTATACCTACATACCCATTGATTTATATAAAACTAGATAAGTAATAACCGCAACAAAGCGTTGCCACTGCACATATGGCCACAGCCATATGCCTAGCTAACGTCAGTTCATTGTTCAATGTGACGCCGACAGAGTTGAGCCGCGACAAAAATGGGTAAATGCGTAGTGAAAGAATGCTATTCAGAGTCACAAAAACATAATAAATCAAGCGGAATCACTTTCAACACATAATTTTTAGTTCTTGTTTTCATATAAACGTTAAAAAACTCAAATAATTAAATAAAATTATCGAATATTGCCATTTAGGTTCAATGTTGCCACTTTTCCGCATTTGTGATTATCCTACATTAATGGGAGACTATGTAATTAATGGAGTAAGTTAATTTGTTACCTCTGATTTTAAATATTTTGGAAATTATAATAAAAACTACGTTTTAACTTTCATACAAAATAATTAATTATTCTTATTTTAGTTTATTCATGAATTATCTATTAAATATATTTTATTACCTAATTAATAATTTCATATTATTTATAATATAATATAAATTTTATATTAATTATATTTTATTACCTATTTTATATTGTTTGATTTATTAGTACCATAAAAATACGTTTTATTTCATTATTATGTTTACTTCTATTCATCTGATATCTTTTTTTTGTTTTGTTAGCTTTGTATCCTTTTTTTCTAAGGGGACGTAATAAAAATTTTAAAATAAAATATACTTTTTTTAATATAAAAACAATTAACTGCAGCTTAAAAAAAAACTAATTTTTATTGCGTATTTTAGGTAAAATTTCATATAGTAAGCAACACCAACCCGCCATTCTTAGCGACGATATTGTTTTCGCAACTTGTGTAAGTGAAATAGATGTATGTTTACTTAAAATTGTTATTAGTTTCAAAGCTACGTCGTCGCGTTTGGATAGTGGTTACACTTTTTTCGACGCGCGGTAATGTGGTTTGCTCCTCTAGTGTTGTATAACTCAATGTACTTACCTTACATTTATCTCTATTGTTGATTAAAAATACATTACATACTTTTTAGAAACGAAACTTTGTCTAAATTAAGAACTTGAACCATACTTAACGTTAAAATTATCGCACGCCACTTGACTCGCTCCTTTCTCTGCTATTTTTTGTGCGACGCTTGGGTTGCCGTTCATATGTTAAGATTGTAAAAAACTTTTGGTGTAAAAAATATATAGGGATGTGTGGTTTTTTGCTTTTTTATTATAAATTTGTGTATATTGATGGAAATAAATAATATTTATTTTATAAATGAATGATTTTTCTGTTTAATTTTCACAAATTATGTACAAAATACTAAAAAGAAAACAGTTTTCTAACTTTGAAATCGGCTTAATAAAATCTATTAGGTTGCATTGAACTAAGATAAGAACAGAATAATAGCAAATAATATAACAATTCAAATGACATAAGTTTTATATATATAGCTCCAATACAATATTTTGGAGAAATTACTAATTTAATCGCCACGCGCCGATATCGCGTAAATTATCTGCTAATGCCTTAGCAGATGCGCATTATGCAAATGGCCGGCCGGCCAACAAGGGGTTAGGCTTCGGTGCATTTCGCTTATGGCGCGACGACAGATTCGCCACATCACTCCCCTGTTCAGACCGGTGGTCGATGGTGCAGTCTAGTTGTCGACAAATGTGCAAGTACCATGGATCGCCTTATAGTCTGCGGTGAGTCGAGAAGAAGGCAAGTAATCTGCGAGAGTGCCATGAAGTAGAGGCAACCAATAAGGCTCAGAGCCGTGCCGAACACTGTAGCGCAGAGAGTAGCTTGAAGGAACATTATTCCAGTGTTACGATGACTCTTGTATGGCGCTGTCTTATTGCCATCGCTCGCGCAACCGTGCGTTGCATCCGACAAAGATAATAGTGCGACCGAGCGTTTATACATACTCATATCTGCGGAATGTCGATGCGTCAATGCGATCATGCGCTGCGACTGAAGAAATCGCGCGTGCGGATTCATCGGACGATGAAATCGGATCGCATCATCGGGGGAGCGATGGCAACAGGAGGGCACCTAAAGCTAAAATGGCTTGAAGGATGTTAAGGCTGCAAACGATATCTGCTCGACGACGATGACGAAGCTTGAAGTTGAAGTTTCCGGAGGTTGCATTGTTGCGTGTTTAAATCACGTCGGGTGGTCACCAAGGTGATCGGCCCAGGAATCGACCAAAGCTCCTTGTGATAATTCGGAGCTGTTTTATATATAGCGCGGTAGCTTCGGAACTTTGATAGTGCAATTTCGGTGCATTTCGCTATATTACACGGACTCGCATTTGACGGTGTTAAATAATAGCAAATTATCATTTGTAATATTTTGTTATAAAAACTTATTCACGATACGCCGATGTATCACATAGAGAACTTCTTCGTAGATTTTGACGACATCTTAATTCAATGTATAGTCGGTGACAACAGTATCTCAAGTCCTTAAGGCGCCTAAGTGGACACAATAACTGGAGGTTTAGTATTAACATCGGTGCACTTGTGTCATCGTTTCTTCTAATAGTTCACATGCTCACACACTTAATACACAAAATAGCATTGTTTTTACTTATTCCAATCCACTTCATACCGCAAACAGGAACTATAATTCGCCGGCTATCAAGATTCCCCCAAAAAACGTGCACATAGTTATTTGTTTATTTATTTATTCTTGATTTTAACATTTTACGACTAAGGTAACAATGGGCCTGTGGCGGCGATGTCGTCGCGCCGCAAGCGAAACACACTGAAGCCTACATCGCGCTATCGAAGTTCTGAATCATAAACAGTATATATAGAATAGCTCCGAACTATCACACGGAGCGTTGGCCGCTCCCCGGACAGAACTCCTTGCCCGGCGAGAGATCTCCCCTTTTCCTTCTACGGCCACAGTGGTGACCGCGACGTGATCTGAACACGCAACCAACAATCTTTGGAAACTACAACTTCAAGCCTTCGTCATTATCCTCAAGAACCCCTACCATTCACTACTGAGAATCGTCTTCTGCAGTCTTCAGTTCCTGCAAGCCAGTCCAACTTGTCTTCATCTCGACTCACCGCAGATTTATAAGGCAGACTTCTGGCACTTGCTCCGGCACATCGTTCTCACCGGCATCACTTGCCAGTGCGTAGTACGGCATGCATTACACATCGGCATATCCGCACTTGCCCTTACGCACACAGCATGTATTCCCCACCGGCGTTAAGGACGCCCCGGTAAACGGACTGCACTGTCGACCTCTGATCTGAGCAGGGGGGTGATGTGGCGGCGCTGTTGTCGCGCCGCAAGCGAAACACACCGAAACCTAAATCACGCTATTAAAGTTCCGAATCATAAACAGTATATATAGAACTGCTCCGAACTATTACACGGAGCGCTGGCCGCTCCCCGGGCAGAACACCTTGCCCGGCGGGAGATCGCCCCTGTTCCTTCTACGGCCACAGGCCTGGCAGTCAACCCGTAGGGTGATAAGCTATTGTGGCAGGTGGTATACTTGCTATACATCTTCTTATCTTAAAATATATATTTATATGTACCGTAAAATTGGCAACTTACAATTTTTGGAAGGGCTTAAAAAAACTAGGACCGATTTTCCAACAAAAAAGGTACTCTCAGACTCGGCGTCAATATTAAATGTCAAATTACATTCTTGATATGTTTAGTATTCATTAGTGATTTTAAAAAATACTAACATTAATAGAAAAAACACTCAAAAATAGAAAATGGTAAAGTTAACCTAACTTTGTGGCAACTTTGCCATCAGGGCTTTTTATGAACATTTGACTTCAAGAATGAAACAAAATTAGACATTTATATCATATAATTAAACTAATTTCTTTAATTGTGTTAAAGAGAAGTTTTTAACTTGATATTGGGTTTTGATATATTTACTTATTTTTTTATTTAAATCTTGTCACAATAATTTCTTAGGCAAAAATCTAAAATATAACTTGCAAACAAAAATACCCTCTCAAATTACAAATCAAATAGACGCAATAATAATCTTAAATCATTATAGTAGTATAGATAAAAAATAACGCTTGTCACAATCATTTTAACATGACTAATAAAAAACGAATACTGTTATTTTGTTAGTCATCATTATCATTTTTCACGATCAGGTAAAAAAGTATTATAACCTTCCTAAATATTGTTTTTCCACAATAGTAAAACATTCATAATCATTAAAAATGATGAAATTAATATGAATACATTAAGTTTAAAATTTTAGAAATACTGAGTAGTAATAATATTATTAATACTCGACAACGCAGTAAAAATAATATCTATTTCTCTTTTCCTTTCCTTCACTTCACGTACGTGGTACGGGGTACGTGTAATAAAGATGAATCGATTGACAACTTATTTGGTAAATCGGTCTAATAGGCTGCTACTAGTAAACATTTATACAAACCTACATACCTAAAATATCCAGTACCGAACCCTTGTTTTGCATTGCACGCCGTAATCGGGTTAAAAATGAAGAAATGACAACCCTTGGTTATAGCAAAACATGGCAAAGTAACCATCGTGACATCACTAGTATGATAACTTTGCCAAGTTAGTTTATTAGATAAATATTGAGACCACGATGTTAAAAACAAAATATTATATTTCCTAACCATTGATATTATTACCTTACTACAAAGATGTAGATACCTAGATTCAGAATTATACTAACTTCTGGAACACTGAAAAATGAGGTTACGTCGCCGGCACGAATTCGCGTTGCAATGCTGTCAATTAGTTATTAAATTTTTATCCAAAAAATTACATATCCTGAAAAACGTAACATTGTACGTGTTACGTAATTTTACGCATACGTAATTTTATATCTGTAGATCCCCAAAGACAAAGTTAACATTCTTAACAATGATAAAGTTGCCAGAATTGACTGTATGTCAATAATATAAATTTATTATACAGTTAGTTGGAAGTATATTTTGTGTGTCGAATCACAGACACGCAACTGTGCATCAACGGCGAGTGCCGCGGCTCGATCTGCCTGGCGTGGAACATGACGGAGTGCTTCCTGTCGTCGAGCCCGACGGCGGCGGGCGACGGCGTGACGGCGGTGGTGGACCGGCGTGCGCTCTGCCAGCTGGCGTGCCAGAGCGGCGCCGAGCCCTCCACCTGCCGCAGCACGGCGGCCTTCGCGGCGCGCGTCGGCCTGCCGCCCGGCGGCATCAGCCTGCGCCCCGGCTCGCCCTGCGATAACTTCCAGGTCAGCCCCCTACCGACCTCTGTAGCCTTAGTACATTGCACATGCGTTACGCTTGAAGAGGGCTAATAATCTTCCGTTCACCAAATATCACTGTTTTTTTAAATTGAATGAGGATGACAAACGAGCACATAGTCCACCTGATGATAAATGGATGCTGTAACTTATAGACATCTACATTTATTCGATTAAGAATCAAAACGCATATGCGTTGCCATCCCTGAGGACTAAATTATCGAGGATTATACCGGACCACTACCGACATAAACTCCGTTCGGAACGTAACCAGGCCCTTCCATCGCTTTGCTACACTATTTGCACGCCCCGGAGGCTGTACTGTCTGATCCTAGCATCCTCGCAGTGCTATCACGGTGTCACAGTGTCAATCTTCCTAGCCACCAAACAATTCTATGTACGAATATACATATTACTAGACCGGCTCTGCGACCTTAGTACATTGCGCACTAATGTACGCTCGAAGAGGGCTAAATCTTCCGTTCACGAGATGTAGCCAGTTGAGACTGAGATGAATTTTTTGAAGTGCAAAATTCTTTACAATCGCTGTGATTCGAAACTCGATGAAACGAAAAAGTGACACAAAAGAGTTAAACATGTAAATTTATAGGATTTAGCTTGCGAGAATATAGATTTCAGTATACAATAATGTTTCCTATTAACGCGGTCTCCTATTCTGTTTGTTTCACTTCTACCGCGTCTGAACTCACTGAGCTCTTTAAATACAAGTACGCTGGACTTGCTATACACCTTAGCATAATAAGGTGATTTTATTTTCGCCATTTTGGCGCTGACAGCAGTAGTGAGTGCGTCCACGGATCTAATAATAGAGATAGGACAGTGTAACAAAATATATCGATAAAGATTCTAAACCCAGGCCTACCTGTAACGTCCGTTCTATTTATGTATTATTTTAATATAATGCCATTCAATAAATAAATGTATCAATTAATACTTATGTCTTAAACACAAGACACACTAAAATTTCTAACACTCGGAATAGCCTGACAATTCCATATATAGCGACTGTTTTGTACCTATCTGCCTTCTGGAGTCTCGATACGGGATCAATTTTCTTATAGCTCCAATCATAATTGTACCCCAAAAGGACACCAATTTCTCGTCTTGCTGAACGACCAGTGATGCATGATTAACATTGGTCCGAAATCACTAAACCACTGTTGACCCCTGAAGACACCGAAAGTGGTCCGTGTGGGCATCATACAATGTTAATAAAAAAGTGTTCAACACTTTTGGAGATGATAGTCATTACATAGGTACTAAAGATGTTGTTTTTTTTATAGGAAGGGTGACAAACGAGACAGCGGGTGGGTTTAAGATGGGAGAGGTTTTATTACAATTCAAGGCTTTAATTAACTTATTTAAATAAGGGGACAAGACTCATGCACAAAATTCGAATATAATCACAAAAAGGCTAAGAACTACTGCTCTAGAAAATAATACTAACTATATTGATGAAAAATTATATATAAATTATACGTGTATACATGGCACTATTTGTGTGCTTGCTGGATAACATGTTAATAAAAATATTGACCGTGGGCAGGGGTACTGTGACGTGTTTCTGAAGTGCCGCGCGGTGGACGCGGAGGGCCCGCTGGCTCGGCTGAAGAACCTGCTGCTGAACCGCGCCACACTGCAGACCGTGCAGGCCTGGGTCACGGAGCAGTGGTGGGCCGTGCTGCTGGGCGGCGTCGCGCTCGTCGTCTGCATGGGCGCCTTCGTCAAGTGCTGTGCCGTGCACACGCCCTCGTCAAACCCGAAGCGACCGCCGGCCAGGTGCACACATACTCTTATAATTGCAATAAAACATTTGGGTTTTGTCTGGAGACTTAGAGCTTTAGAGCGTTAATGACTCGTATTGTATTTATTGATTTTGCGGATACTTATAACCTACAAAAGTAATCGTGATTAAAAATCAAATACGTTAACACATAGAGAATTACAGATTATAAGTAAACAAATTTGCTTGGATAAAATTAATGGGAAATAGTAAAAATACTATCTTAAATGGCTTAGCAAGATCCTTCGTTATGCAGAAAATATTGCAGCAAGCATTCACTTTGAAATAAATATATGGTAAAGTTGAGGATTAATATTAAGTACTATGTGAGACGAAAACACGATTCCGTAAAACTTTCTCGATAGAAAAAAAATCCAAAGTTACCTCCAAACTGAACAAAACCGCTGGTATTCATAAAATAATTTAAATTAGATCATGAAACTTTGCATACTAACTGAACTAACTATAAAGTAGGGCTATTGTTTTTTGTTTTTAATTATCATTATGTTCACTGTAAAAATAAGTTACCTATACTATCGACGTCTTGAAGCTTGTTTCCTGCCGCCCGATCAGTCTCGCTACGGCTTTCGAACGGGAGAGTTGTGTCGTTTACAATCAGAATTCACATTACGCAACAGGACGAAGTAAAATTAAAATGGGAAATAACCGTAATAAAAATAAGAAGCGACTGGGTTGGCGTAAAGAAACAGGCATAAATATGATAATCCTAATGAAATAAGTATCTAACGACCTATCTACTTACAGTATTAGTGATTACAAACATGTCGGTACATAGCATACACGCGCGCGGAAGTGGGGCGAAATTAGAATTTGGGCTGAGTTACTATAGCCCCTTAAGTTAGCAAAACATTATAATTGCCAGTAACAAAAGTACTATTGGAAAAAAAAATGTGGGTAAGTGCTTACACCATGACATAATGGATTTCAATATAATTAGGGCTTATACGGAGGGGCGCACTGAAATGATCGGGAATAAGAAAAACAACATGCACGGTATAGCAAAATTGTATTTTATTGTTTTTCGAAGTATTCTCCGTTCAAGTTGATGCACTTTTCCATTGGGTTACACGAACCCAATCATTAAAACAGTAATTCCAGTCTTAAGTTGATGGTGACAAAATGGCTGATTTGTACGCTTCCGCAGCTGCTTCGGGGTCTTCAAACCGTTGATCGCGTACTAAATCTTTCATTCTAGGGAATGTAAAGAAATCGTTTGGGCTCAGGTCGGGACTGTACGGGGGATGGCTTATGAGCTCAACGTTTTCCTGCTTCTACAAATCATTTGTCTTTCGAGCCGTATGGGAGCTTGCATTATCGTGATGTAAGATGATGCGACGTTTCGGGTTATTTTTTTGGAGTTCGACTATCATTTCTGGCAAACAAACCGTAATATGCCACTCAGCGGTAACCGTTCTGCGTTCTTGTATAGGAATTGTAGCAACATGCCCCTTTTTCGAGCTCGTAAGTGACATAACGGTCATCTAATATAAATAATTCGCACAGCTGCGATGTTTTCAGGCGTGACCGCTGTTCTTGGTCGACCTGCAGAAGAAACAGTCCTGAGCGACACACAACCGCGTCAGGACTCGGCATACCAGCGGTATATTGTCGTTTGACTCGGTGTTTCAACATCATAAATCGAAACAAGTTCGCTGAGACATTTATCTTGAGATAAGCCGCGACGAAAATTTATAAATTATGGCACGGAAATGTTCACGCGTGAGCTCCATTTTTGTTAACGACGTGACGTTTAAACCGAGATAATTTTTGTTTAATTTTTTTTAATTGATTGAATTTCATTAATATTCTAAGAGGCCAGTATTCACAGTGGTAGAGCCACGCGGCAGCTTTGCTGTTGCACGTATGGGCCGGCTCAAACCGGGGTGGTACCACGACCTCACAGAATACCGGCGTGAAGTGGAAGCTCTGCTTCCGCGTTTCGTCTGGTGAGTGCAGGTGGCCGGAGTCCCAAACCCCCTCCCCCCCCCATCAACATGGTAGCGGAATTAACTAATGATAGACTACCCAGGGGGTACCAGCACCCCTGGAGAATCCCTCGCTGAGCATCCACGACCATGTTTCTCCACTTTTGAGCGTGGGTGCTCAGGCTGCCCCGCGTATTCTGGGGAAAATTCCGCTCAAGACTACAACTGCTCGGGGCAAACGGAGCAACAAAACCAACGCGACCCCTGCCACGCTGTCCGTGAATTTCTGCAATATCAGGGGACTTCACTCTAACCTAAACACCGTCCACTACCATCTCGAGACGGCGAGGCCGGCTCTGCTCTTCCTGACCGAGTCGCAGGTTTCCTGTAGTGATGTCTCGTATCTCTTCTACCCGGGGTAAAAACTGGAACACTCCTTTGTGCCTCGGGCTGGAGTTTGCGTTTACGTCAGAGAGCACATCTGTTCTCGACGTCTCGGCAGACTTGAAGGTTCGGACCTGTCCATCCTTTGGCTGCGCGTAGACAGCGACGACCGTCCGCGCGTCTACGGGTGCCTCTATAGGTCCCATAGCGGTAATGCCGAAACAGACCGACTCTTCGACCACGTCCCAATGGCTACAGATTCGTTGCTACAGCAGATCCCCTCCGCAGAGATCGTGATCCTCGGCGACTTTAACGCTCATCACGCCGAATGGCTTGGTTTGGTGGTTTTTAACCGATCATGCGGGGGAGATCTGTTCATGATTTTGCTTTGGCATATGGTCTGACACAACTGGTTACTTTGCCTACGCGGATTCCAGATGTGGAGGATAATGCACCTTCCCTCTTGGACCTTCTGCTGACCTCTCACCCGGACGGATATCAGATTTCCGTCGAAGCCCCTTTAGGCTCCTCGGACCATTGTCTTGTCCGGAGTGTGGTCCCACTCACGCTGAAATCGCAGTTGCATTCTGCAGGCTGCCGCCGTGTTTGGCACTATAGGTCAGCCGATTGGGATAGGATGCGGTCTTTCTTTGCATCCTACCCTTGGGGGCGGGTTTGCTTCTCGCCGGACGATCCCAACGTTGTTGCCGATTCTGTCGCTGATGTGGTACTTCAGGATATGGAACTCTTTATTCCTTCCTCTGTGGTGCCCATTGTAGACAAATCTTAGCCATGGTTTGGTCGCTCCTGTAAAATAGCATCATGCTATAAGCAGGAGTGCTACCGAGCCTGAGCTGACGCATCAGCGTCCCGGGATGTAAACACCAGCGCTATAAAAAAGAAGTATAATTCCGCCTCTAGGTCCTTCAAAAGAGTCATTGCCAAGGCAAAGTCAGAGCACATAGGCAGAATTGGCGAGAAACTAGTTCGCCTTCCTTCTGGAACCCGTGCATTCTGGTCTCTCGCTAAGGCTGTCCAGGGGAATTTCTGTCAGCCATCTCTTCCATCTCTGCACAGGGAGGACGACTCACTGGCCCATACCGCAAAGGAGAAAGCCGATCTTCTAGGCTCTTTCTTTGCGTCCAACTCGACTCTCGATGACGGGGGGAGTACGCCGCCGTCCATCCCGCGGTGTGAGTGCTCCATGCCGGAAGTGCAGTTCACACAGCGCTCGGTTCGCAAAGCACTCCTCTCCCTGGACATCTACAAGTCGAGTGGGCCTGACGGAATCCCCCCAATTGTGCTGAGGACGTGTGCTCCAGAGTTGGCACCGGTTTTAACGCGTCTTTTCCGGTACTCCTACTCCCTAGGCATAGTCCCAAAATCATGGAAGACGGCTTTCGTCCACCCGATCCCTAAAAAAGGCGACCGCTCAGACCCGTCCAACTACCGGCCTATCGCCATCACCTCCTTGTTCTCCAAAACAATGGAGTCTATTGTAAACTGCCAGCTCATGAGGTTCCTTGAGGATCACCAGCTGATAAGTGACCGCCAATACGATTTTCGCCGTGGTCGGTCATCTGGTGGTCTTCTGGTCTACTACATAGATGGGCGGAGGCAGTAGAGTCCAAGGGGGAGGCATTGGCCGTTAGTTTGGACATTGCGAAGGCCTTCGATCGGGTTTGGCACAAAGCGCTTCTTTCGAAGCTCCCTTCCTATGGGCTTCCCGAGGAATTGTGCGATTGGATCACCAGCTTTCTTGCAGATCGGAGCATCAAGGTCGTTGTAGACGGTGCAAGCTCCGATTGCAAGCCTATTAATGCTGGTGTTCCACAAGGCTGCGTGCTATCGCCAACGCTGTTTCTTCTGCATATCAATGATGTGTTGCAAACCCGTAACATTCATTGCTATGCAGATGACAGCACTGGTGATGCTCTTTACACCGGCCGAGCCAATATTTCTCGGGAAAACGTCTTCGAGTGCCGGGACAAACTTGTGTCTGAAGTCGAGTCTTTGCTAAACAGAGTCTTGGATTGGGGGCGACTAAATCTAGTCCAGTTTAAACCCCAGAAGACACAATTTTGCGCGTTAACCGCTATAAAGAACCCCTTTGTCGTATCTCCTCAGTTTCAAGGCACTCCCCTTATTGCCTCAGCCAGTATCGGAATCCTCGGCGTTGACATATCGAGTGACGTGCACTTTCGTGGTCACTTGGAAGAGAAGGCCAAATTGGCCTCTAAAAAGCTTGTCGTGCTCAGCAGAAAGGGACAGTATTTCATGCCGGCACACCGACTGCGACTTTACAAGGCGCAGGTTCGACCGCACATGGAATACTGTTCCCATCTCTGGGCTGGGGCTCCCCAGTACCAGCTCCTTCTACTTGACCGCATCCAGCGCAGAGCGGCTCGAATCGTCGACGACCGAGTGCTTTCCGATCGGCTCGATTCAATGGCACTGCGCAGAGATGTTGCATCTCTGCATTTTATTTCGCATATACCATGGAGAGTGCTCTGAGGAATTGTTCGGATTAATCCCAGCCGCCAAATTTCGTGAATGCACTACGCGGCAAATGTCCCGATACCATCCACGCCATCTGGATGCTTGGCGGTCCACCACAGTACGTTTCAAAAGGAGTTTTCTTCTGCGTACAACCTCTCTGTGGAATAGTTTACCACCGGCGATTTTTCCGGTCCGATACGACCTGGGGACCTTCAAGAAAAGAGCTTACTCCTTTTTAAAGGGCCGGCAACGCACCTGCAATTCCCCTGGTGTTGCAGTTGATCATGGGCGGCGGTAGTCACTTAACATCAGGTGAGCCGCATGCTCGTTTGCCCCCTCTTCTATAAAAAAATTATTCATATTCTAAAAAAAGGTTTTATTGTAACTCATATTCCGAAATATTCTATTCTCGATCATTTCAGTGTACCCCTCGTAATCTTACGCTCAACAAATGTCGCTAGTTGGGATTAAGGTAAACTTATTTTATGCGAAACTGGTCGCACAGTGTCATGGCTAAAAAGTTACATTTTCATTAAAAGTTTAAAAAGGTGTGTTCTAGTATATGTTATGATAGCGTGTTTAGCTGTGATATACTAATTACAAAACTATGCCTCAGTGCTCTACAAACTAACTTCCAAATTATTAAATAATTGTAAAAAATTTACAAATTAACTTCCTCCGTTACGGAAATCTCTCAAATATATCACCTCATTCCTTAGTGGCGATAATAGTGGATGGGTTCATTAATAATAAAAATAATTGTCTGTCAGGCGGCTCTCCGAGACGCTGCGGCGGCCGATGAACACGCTGCGTCGCATGCGCGCGCCGGGCGAGGCGCGGAGAGACGCGCGCGCGCCGCCGCGGCCCGGACACCGCCGCGCGCGTACGCACAAGGGATACGCGCCGCCGCTCGCGTACGCGCACAGGGACCTCGGTGAGACACGCGCACGCTACACATATACACACGCACACGCACGCACAAGGCATATGTGCCGCCGCTCGCGTACGCGCACAGGGACCTCGGTGAGACACGCGCGCGCTACACGCCTACACACGCACACGCACGCACAAGGCATGTGTGCCGCCGCTCGCGTACGCGCACAGGGACCTCGGTGAGACACGCGCACGCTACACACCTACACACGCACACGCACGCACAAGGCATATGTGCCGCCGCTCGCGTACGCGCACAGGGACCTCGGTGAGACACGCGCACGCTACATACCTACACACGCACACGCACGCACAAGGCATACACGCCGCCGCTCGCGTACGCGCACAGGGACATCGGTGAGACACGCGCACGCTACACACCTACACACGCACACGCACGCTCAAGGCATATGTGCCGCCGCTCGCCGACGCGCACAGGGACCTCGGAGAGACACGCGCACGCTACACACCTACACACGCACACGCATGCACAAGGGAGACGTGCCGCCGCTCGCGTACGCGCACAGGGACCTCGGTGAGACACGCGCACGCTACACACCTATACACCTACACACGCGCACGCACGCACAAGGCATACGCGCTGCCGCTCACGTACGCGCACAGTGACCCAGTGAGACACGCGTACGCTACACACCTACACACGCGCACGCACGCACAAGGCATATATGCCGCCGCTCGCGTACGCGCACAGGGACCTCGGTGAGACACGCGCACGCTACATACTTACACGTACACGCACGCACAAGAGAGACGTACCGCCGCTCGCGTACGCGCACAGGGACCTCGGTGAGACACGCGCACGCTACACACCTACACACGCACACGCACGCACAAGGGATATGCGCCGCCGCTCGCGTACGCGCACAGGGACCTCGGTGAGACACGCGCACGCTACATACCTACACACGTACACGCACGATCAAGGGATATGTGCCGCCGCTCGCGTACGCGCACAGGGACCTCGGTGAGACACGCGCACGCTACACACCTACACACGTACACGCACGCATAATGCATATGTGCCGCCGCTCGCGTACGCGCACAGGGACCTCGGTGAGACACGTGCGCGCTACACACCTACACACGCACACGCACGCACAAGGGATGCGCGCCGCCGCTCGCGTACGCGCACAGGGACCTCGGTGAGACACGTGCACGCTACACACCTACACACGTACACACGCACGCATAAGGCATACGTGCCTCCGCTCACGTACGCGCACAGGGACCTCGGTGAGACACGTGCACGCTACACACCTATACACGCACACGCACGCACAAGGCATACGCGCCGCCGCTCGCGTACGCGCACAGGGACCTCGGTGAGACACGCGCACGCTACACACCTATACACGCACACGCACGCACAAGGCATATGCGCCGCCGCTCGCGGACGCGCACAGGGACCTCGGAGAGACACGCGCACGCTACACACCTACACACGCACACGCATGCACAAGAGAGACTCGCCGCCGCTCGCGTACGCGCACAGGGACATCGGTGAGACACGTGCACGCTACACACCTATACACACACACGACGCACGCACAAGGATACGCGCTGCCGCTCGCGTACGCGCACAGTGATCCGGTGAGCCACGCGTACGCTACACACCTACACACGCACACGCACGCACAAGGCATATGTGCCGCTGCTCGCGTACGCGCACAGGGACCTCGGTGAGACGCGTGCACGTTACACACCTACACACGCACACGCATGCACAAGGGAGACGTGCCGCAGCTCGCGTATGCGCACAAGGACCTCGGTGAGACACGCGCGCGCTACACACCTACACACGCACACGCACGCACAAGGGATACGTGCTGCCGCTCGCGTACGTGCACAGGGACCTCGGTGAGACACGCGCACGCTACACACCTACCACCGCACAAGGGATACGCGCCGCAGCTCGCGTACGCGCACAAGGACCTCGGTGAGCCATGCGCACGCTATACACCTACACACGCACATGCACGCACAAGGGATACGCGCCGCAGCTCGCGTACGCGCACAAGGGACCTCGGTGAGACACGTACACGCTACACACCTACACACGCACACGCACGCACAAGGGATACGCGCTGCAGTTCGTGTACGCGCACAGGGACCTCAGTGCGACACGTACAAGCTACACACCTATACACACACACGCACGCACAAGAGATACGCGCCGCAGCTCGCGTACGCGCACAAGGACCTCGGTGAGACACGCGCACGCTATACACCTACACACGCACACGCACGCACAAGGGATACGCGCCACCGCTCACGTACGCGCACAGGGACCTCAGTGAGACACGTACAAGCTACACACCTATACACACACGCACGCACAAGGGATACGCGCCGCAGCTCGCGTACGCGCACAAGGACCTCGGTGAGACACGTGCACGCTATACACCTACACACGCCCACGCACGCACAAGGAATACGCGCCACCACTCGCGTACGCGCACAGGGACCTCGGTGAGACACGCGCACGCTATACACCTACACACGCACACGCACGCACAAGGGATACGCCACGCAGCTCGCGTACGCGCACATCGAGCTCGGTGAGACACGCGCACGCTACACACCTACACACGCACACGCACGCACAAGGGATACGCGCTGCACCGTTCGCGTACGCGCACAGGGACCTTGGTGAGACACGCGCACGCTACACACCTATACACCTACCCACGCATACGCACGCACAACGGATACGCGCTGCTACACACCTACACATGCACATGGGGTATAATGTATGTATGTCACAGAAATCGTAATAATAAGACAATAGAGGTCGCATAGACGCGATGACCTTGTCGCCGCTATTATGTGTTGACGAACATAATTCACCATTTTGTAATTTAGTTGCGCGGGGAACGTCGTACGTGAATTTATGTTATTATAATGGTGAACTGCAGCATAATATAGTTAAAAAAAAGTATTTCAACTAATAAAACTTCATCGGTAATTTGATTATTTACTAATTATTATCATTGTTTTAACTAATTTACATTTAGATGAATACTTTACTATGATATTTACCTTTGTAAACTTTCATTTATTGCTTTTTGTATTGACAATTACCATTGCTGCTTTTGTTCTACCGTAGTACACGACGCACGCGACGTTGACAAACTCGCCAAGCAATGTAATGTGAAACATTACATATCATTGTGCATTGCGTATGTTTGTAATAATACGGCTGCAGGTGGCAACATCGGTTTTGGAAGTAATCGAGCGCTAATTCATTTCTATTGTCTATTGTCTTATTATTACGATTTCTGTGTATGTATGCATATAGGTTGTCCCAGAAATTGACGGCAAGTCGGAAACGGCTGATAGGCCAAGTCATAATAGTTATCAGAAAAATAAAATAAAATAATTTATGTTTTTTTTATGCTTTGCAGCCTGTGATATTCTTTTAACTCTCTTTACTAGAAATCTTTCTTTTTATGATTTAATCCTGAATAATATTTCTGTAAGTTTTTGACTAAAATTTAAATCTAACTGCTCCAGCTTGAAAGAAAATGTCACTTTTAGCCCAGCTAAGTATTCAAAGTTAATACTCCGCCCAATTTTAACTAACTGTACTGAAAAAATGAACTACGCTAGTTTGGCAAGTAACTTTAAAACTTGGCGCAATTGATAAGAATTCCAAAATTGTATGACAGTTGCTATATTATTTCTTGTACAATTTTTATTTGTAAAGAAACCCAGTCCTGAACACTTTTCATACTCACTTAAAATCAATCTACTGTGACCAGGGCTTTCCTTCAAGCTGTTACTTTAAGATTCTAGTTCGAGTAAGATTTAGAGATTTTATTAAGTGCAAGCGAGACAGATAGTGACGCCACTTTTACTAATGTGTCAGAGACGGAGAGAGACGGAAAAATTAATTTTACGGAATGTGAGCAAGACATGTAGTGAAGTCACTTTTATTAATGTGTGAGACGGATAGATACACCATTCAACGAGTGCGAGCGAGATAATAGTCGCTTTTATCCATGTTCACTAACGCACACACATACAGAGCAGTAGGTTACTCTCCGTCGTTTACGCATCTTTCCGTATTCGTGACATTTAGTACGTACTACTTTTTGCTTCGTTTATTAGACTTAATTGTTGATTTGGATTTGAACTGTTTAGTATTTCTTTATGACGATCTTTGCTTTCCCCTCTATCGTTGATCGTGTGATTGACCACACAGGAATATGCCCACATGCATTTTATTTTTATGGGGAATGTAGAGGCAATGATATTGCTGCAGCTTGAGTTTATCATTATGAGTTTTTAACGCCCGTATTCACATGGTGAAGGAAGAATTTATTTTCCTTACGAAGCCATCGTACAATAAGCAATCGAAGAAAACTCGAGTACTTCGGTACGTGTTATTGAAGCAAGCACAGGTGTACCCAAAAGTACAGCCTTAATTCTGTGATACATTATTCTTATATTATGTATTTACATAGGGCCAATAATAGACATCCACTATTTACAATTTATCAAGAATCAGAAGTTGACATCTAAATTGAGATGTTACTTCAGATTTAACAAACCACAAATGCAGGGTCAGATCTTTATATGAACTTTTTGGGCTGCAGCCCAGAGTCCTAATGTAAAATGCCCCCAGCCCCCTCCCCATTGAAGAAAATAGCTTATAAAGCGTCAAAAATAATTATGATGATATTAGGAATACTCTTCTCCGCCTTTTTACAAATGCTCACAAGATAAACAATAAAAGTTAACTATCTACTCCTGTCAAAGCCCGTACTTTTGTAAAATTAAATTAAATTAAATTTTTGTAAAATTTCGTTAAATGTATTTTTGAATGAATAAATGGATCAATGTTAGGGAATTTACTCTTAAAATTTTTAACCATTCTGGTGAGGTGGTGAGGATACCATTTTTGTCATAATTAATACGACACAAGGGAACACTGAATAAAGGTGTATGTCTAGTCCTACGTCGGGGCACATTAAAGGAGGTCTGTGAAAGCAGAACAGGGCAATCAAATTGAGCGCGTTAAATATCAAATAAAAAACCCATTTCTAACATCGCACGTTGTTCACGGCATCTAAAATTTAAAGACTAAATTTTTTTTCTGAATACGCTCTAAACAGCCTTATAAATTATAAACTTCGTATGAACGTGACCACATAGGACTAGCATACTCCAATATGCTTCACACGTACGCAAAAGTTACTTGCCAAACTAGCGTAGTATCTTTTTTCAGTACAATTAGTTAAAATTGGGCGATGTATTAACTTTGTGAAAGGAAGCGAACGCAATATCTTAAATGCTTACCTAATACACAACAAGTCTCAACAATTAGCGAATCACCGAAGTATTCGTAAAACTTCGGTGTCTTTTAGTTACTGTCGCGTCACACTACGTCACAACCCAGGCCTTCGGCCCATATTACGCACAGCGGTGTAGACAATAATACACAAGGTTTCGTGCACTATCCACAACAGTACATTGTGACGGAGGAAGCTAATAAGTGTAACTCAGTATGTAGTCTAAAAGTGACAATTTCTTCCAAGCTAAATTTTAGACAACTTACAGAAGAAGCATTATTCAGGATTACATGATAAAAATAAAATAAAATAAAACATATTTCTAGTTACGGGTATTAAAAAACTATCACAGCCTGGATTTTCTCGATTTTTTAAAAAAATGCATATTATTTTTTTAAATACATAACTTAATTTTTATTCTGCTAACTGTCATGACTTGGCCTATCACTTGTTTACGGCTTGACGTCGATTTCTTTTCGCAATTTATGTATACATACATAACTTGCAATAAGAATATAATTTTTAATATTTCCTCTGTTCTGTTATAGCTTCTGCGCCACCGGGTCCAAGCGGGCGACGTAGTGAACCGTACGCGAACGCGTATCCACAGTCTTATGAAATGAGACCTCCACAAAAGGTATGACTTCAATAAATTACTTCATTTTTCACGTATTACTTGAAAATTATGCTGCTAATACTAAACAGCTTTGCTTTGAAAAAAATAAACCATTAGAAAATTAACAGCATGCTATGCGATATATCAGAAGGCAACATAGACCCTTGTGACCTGACCTACTTACTTGTGCAATTATGGATATATACATGCTTCATAAATAATGTTGACTGCCTCGTTGGTCTAGTGGTTATAGTAGTGCGACTGCTGATCGTGAAGTCCTGGGTTCGAATCAAAAAAAATATTGAGTTTTTCTGTCAAGAAATTCTCAGTAGCTGCCCGGAGTCAGAAAGTTGGCGGTGTCTCACCCCCGTGCCTCGGAAAGCACGTAAAGCCGTTGGTCCTGCGCCTGATCTCTCTCCGGTCGTGTCGGTTTACCGTCCCATCGGATTATGAGAGTGAGGGAATAGAGAGTGCACCTGTGCTTGCGCGTACACTTGAGCACTATAATCCTGTCCTGCGCCGATGGCTAGTCTCCGTTGAGGCAGGCCGCCGTGGCCGACATTATTATATATTATATGCTTCAAGAGCAGGAGAGTATTAATTTTGTAAATTAAAAAAAACACGTTATACTTGTGGCAACAATAACACTATCGTAACTGAGACTGATGTTTTAATTTATCATGTCATATCAAATGATAAAATGTGTTTTAATTAAAAGTTATTGTTGTATTTTCAACATCACACATTTTCCATATTATTTTAAAAATTTCATTCCATATCATATGTACTTTCTAATTTTTAATCCCAATTTATCTGAACCCCAGTCATCAAGCAGTTACGGAGATATGTATATAACATCATTTTATCTTACTTCACTATATAACTATCATTGAACTATACGCAGTCGTTCCATTATTACTGGCCTTAGAGAATAATAAATTATGAAATTTTCAATTTAACGTGACCTTCTCTCTTCAGGTCTGACAGTACGAGCAATGTGCATCGGGCGAAGTGGGCGGGGGTCAACTGGAGTTGGTCGCATTAGCGCCTGGTGTGCCTCTCCTTTTGGGCTACGTTTATCGACCACCAGACCAAAAAGTCACCGTCGCCTCACAAACTACCATCACTCTTCATTCGCCCGAGTCTCTGACAGTCACCAACCCGCAACGATCGCAGACCGACATATAAAGTACGATAGGAGGGAGCGATTTTGAATGATTTTTCTATCGATTTTATGGTTCATCCTGTAATTAAGTTGCGTGGTTTATAAATAAAGTCGGGAGTTAGGTATGTACATTGCGTTAGCCGAAACTTTTCTCTTTCGGCTGATTTAGTATTTCTAATTCGATAGGCAATAAGTATTTTTTTAGAATATATGCATTTGAAGCGATAAAGTTAATATTAATCGTTGATCGTATTCGCTTCTAGCGATATAACGAAACTTTATTGATGCGTTCATTCGTAATCGCCCACTTCTATCGGCAGACGATATTCTAAACTATCGGAGTTCGATATTGTCACGGACCGTTTACATGTATCCTCGTTTAAAAAGGAACTGTGAAAATCAACGGGCGTTCTTTACGGCTGCAGTAATTTTAAACGTTACAAATGGACCTGAAACTTACATATACCACATTCATATATAAGCGTCGCCAATAAAGTAACGATTTAAAAATGGCATCCGCTCGCTTTCTATCTCACTCACACTATAGCTCCGTTTCTATTCACACAACTCGGTGCTATAAACAAATAAATATTGTCTGGATTATCTTAATACGCCAGCATGACTCGGTCAGAATTTTGAAACACATTTTTGTTTTGCTTACCTGTTCCGTTTTTATTATTTTATTTATTATAACAGCGTATTAAACGCAATTAATTTTTTTTGAAGTATCGGTAACTGATCGGTTTTTGCTGACTGTACAGGACAGCCTGCCGCTATTTTCAGATCGTTTCTTTATTGGCACGGCTTATAATTATTTATTGTATTTCTTTACTTTTGATAAATTGGAATCGCAACACTCGTTTTATATTCGGTAAGATAATTAGTTGCTCAAATTAAAAAAAACGCTCTATATTACTAAAACGCTGGGCTCAATTTTGATCGGCAAAATATGTTTTACAAAAGTTAGCTATTATTTTTATACAATGAAATAGAGATTGTAAAAGACGATACACTCTCGTACCAGTGACGCTGCAGTAAGACGCTTAAGGAACCAGACATTTATGTATATTTTTGTATATAAATGAAGAGGTATATACAAGCTATGATGTATAAATATCACACTAATATTCATACAGATATTAGATTATACAATTGCAGCATTGATTAAGTGGAACCTGTGTGTCATTTTTATATAAAGTTATTTTCATTATTACATTTAATGTTAAAAGTAAGTGGAAAAGCTGTGGTGCCATGAAACCAATTTCTACTAACTCCTATTTGTTTTCGAGTTGCTTTTATTTTCTCATTACTAATGTAATTGCAAACATTATATTTATATAATAAATTTACTAAGCTCAAAATTAAATTTTCATTACCGCAACATTTATTAGCACACTGCCAGGGAGAAATCACTTTTGAAACTTCCTTGTCCTAATAATTTTATATTGACACGTATTATTTCTTTTTACTCTAGAATAATTGTATTTATAGTGAAAACAACTCAAAATATTTCTCCCTTAGACAATTGGCGCTAATTGTTAGTCTTCCTATGGCAATTTATTATGAAGGTATTCGTTTAATTTAATTTATAGGTGTAATATGAAATTGAACAGTATTGCCAAATGATCAAAATGTAATTAGACTGAAAAGTTTCAATCTCTTTATGATAAAAACTGCATTTTATAAGTTAAGTTAGCGCGTTGCGTGTCGCGATGGCTCAAATAATTCGTAAAAAATTTGATTTACCGTTTGGTGCATACAAAATTGCATATCACATTATTCTAATTACTTTATCGTGTCTGGTGTATAATTAACCTGTTGTACATTTCAGTTCAATTGATCTCTAGTAGATAATATTATTTTTTAATTTCAAACGATCTATGTAGAATTACTCTCCGTCGTGCAAGCCAAAGAGCATGATGTATTTTTATGATTTTTATACATTAATGTTAAGGATCAGTCTTATTAGTACACCATATAAATGCCATTTTATTAGTGAATGTCGACGATACACGCGTTCTTGTATTTGTACTATAAACATTGTATATTTGTATGTAAAACGAGAGGGTAATGTTTCTGATGTAGATTGACTCGACCAATCGCGTAATTGATGGCATAATGTTTCCGTCAAGTAGTACTCAACGGCATTATTTCTCCTAATCGTAAGCTAGACTATGTAATAGATTATTCAATTGACAATGAGAATATTTTTAATTAACAAGATGAATGTTACATTTGATTTCAAAATAACAAAAAAATACAATAAATTTTACATGATATAAGCTTTTTAATTTTTAGTTAATGGGTGCTTACTTGATCATCATTAGATTGAATTACACCATTTTACAGATTTTATCTCAATTAAATTTCTGATATTTTGAGCGCTTTGTGAAGTCTGTATATGTATGTATATAGATACAGTGTGCAGAAGGATGTTTCACTACCTTAAAACAGCCGAAACAACTAGAAGGCGAGCCTGATCTTAGTCAAAGGAAAGGAAGGATTAGTCAAGGTAGCAATACGCTTCGCCATCACCGTTACACTCCATCAAAAGTCTAGTACTGAACAATAGACTTACCCTGTAGATTGTATCATCATCATCATCATTGCAGCCCTTCACAAATCAACTGCTGTACATAGGCCTCCCCAAGGAACGCCACAAAACACGGCCCTAAGTCACCTGCATCCATCGACTTCCTGCATTTCTTACCAGGTCGTCACCCCATCTAGTGGGGGGTCGCCCTACACTTCACCTACCGGTACGAAACTGCCACTCGAGAACCTGTTTTGCCCATCGGTTGCTGGTTTTGCGAGCTATATGGCCGGCCCGTTGCCACTTCAGCTTACTAATCCGTTGGACTATGTCGGTCACTCTGATTCTACTGCGTATATCCTCATTTATATGTTTATCACGCGGAGAAACCCCGAGCATAGCCCTCTCCATAGCTCGCTGAGCGACCTTGAGCGTCCTCATACGGCCAGCCGGCCAGCAGTGAAGGACTACGTCTCAGGTCCATAAGTCATCACTGGCAACACGCACTGGTTGTACAATCTAGTTTTCAGGTTTTGAGGTATACCTGACGAGAAGATGTGTCATAATTTCCCGAATGCTGTTCGGCCGAGTTGAATCCGTCAATTGACCTCGGGGTCGAACTACTATTTGTCCCAGGTAAACGTACTCATCAACAACATCGAGCTTAGTGCTCCCATAGATCATATCATAGGTGGGATAATTGCCATGTTGGCACGCTTGGCGGCGGATTGGCAACCGCAGTTTTTTATTTTTTTATGAAAACTGCTGCCCATCTCTGGTTAGTTACCTTCTGTCGCCTTTTATGACACACATGGCACGATATGGTATGTTTTACCATCAAGTATTCTTGGTACACAGGGAAAGCTAAGCTTGGGTAAAGCTGTAGGAATCCGACTAAAATGTAGTAGAGGTGATATGTCAGCCCCACCGGCGTTGACAAGTTTGGGCTCCAAAGGCTTACGTAAGAAGAGTACTGGTTGGTTGTCCTCTCAGTTCTCTGACCGACATTATTCTAAGGGTTCTTATATATTTTTTAACTGTTTTAGAGCTTTGTGGAAGTGACCCAACGGTATGAAAGACAAGTTCTTGTGTTGTATGCTACGTACGTAGTCACTTTGGAGGCCTCTCTACTTTTCACTCCTTTTGGTAATAAATGAAATTAGCAAATCTTACTGTTCCTCGCAAGTTTCTGTTAACCTCCAAGTGTAAACATTTAACCTTCGTTGGGCTGTAACTGGGTGTGCAAGTAACTTAGTTTTCGAAATATCAAGTTTTTAAAGGAGTAAAAACCTGAAAAATAGCTGTTTCCTTCTGAACACTTTCATTAAAATACGTAAACGGTATAATTGAAACTTCTTAAAAAAACTGGCCAAGAGCGTGTCGGGCCACGCTCAGTGTAGGGTTCCGTAGTTTCCCGTCCGTCACAATAAGTGTTCCCCCCATTTATGAGTTTAAAGGTGGGTATCCATTATGTTCGCGCTCCAGCAGCGCTCCGCGCTCCTGCAACTGCTCCCGGTAGTGGGTACTGTTGTTTCCATCCAAGTTCAAAATGATTTTCCTAGAAAGTCTTTATAAAGTTCTACTTTTCAGATTATTTTCATATTTTCTAAACTTATGGTTCAAAAGTTAGAGGGGGGGACACATTGTTTTTTACTTTTGGAGCGATTATTTCCGAAATTATTGACATTATCAAAAAATGATTTTAGTAAACCCCTATTCATTTTTAACTACCTTTCCAACAATATATCACACGTTAGGGTTGAAATTAAAAAAAAATCACTTCCCACTTTACATAAAGGGGGGGCTACCCTAATAAAACATTTTTTTCCAATTTTTATTTTAGCTCTTTGTCGGCGTGATTGATACACATATTGGTACCAAATTTCCGCTTTCTAGTGCTAACGGTCACAGAGATTAAGCGAGGACGGACAGACGGACAGACAGACATGGCGAAACTATAAGGGTTCCTAGTTGACTACGGAACCCTAATGAACGAAATAATCCGCACAGAGATTTGAATATAAAATTATATTGTTTTAACGATATTTACTTTATTTTTTAACTATAATACAACGAGGGGGGGGGGGACATCATATTTTTTTATAAATAAGAGTGACAAACGAGTACGCAATCCACCTGATGGTAAGTGGATGCTGAGGTTCATAGACATTCACAAACGAAATGGCTCTATCCCAGTAAAAGGGTCTCCATGTATCTACGCTCGCTATACGAAATACAGCAGCATTGAGCTACTATTGTTGCAGGTATTTTGCGAGAGCGTGGTCTTTCTAGCTCCAACGTGGCTTTACTAAGTCATTGAGTTATGTGTAACGTAAAAATAAATGTACTAAGTATAAATATTTGTCCTTCAAACTTCCAGGTTTCAATAAAGTTTAAAAAAAAATTGTTATTCCTCAAAACAAAGGTAAAAGGACTATATAACATACGCCGTTGTTGCAATAATAAAGTAATAAAAAGCGATATGTAGTGAATGTCGTACTTATTATTTATTTGTAATATAAGGTACAATATTTTGGTTCCCTAACAAATAAAAATATATAAATATTGTTTTAACAAAAACACTTTCGGCCCTATAGGGCTACAGGCAAAAATGAATATACTTAATAACATCTCATATCAACAAATAAGGAACACAACGTACATTTGAAGTGACAACGAAATCATGCTCCACGTATCGTAAGTTGTAAGAATACATATTCATGCACATATTCTTACAATAAGTTGAGCAGAGTGTCTGTGTCCTTGAAATGTACATAGTGGTGTCTGTTTCGTTGTAGGTCTAAGTATAACATTAAATAAAATTTCTGTATTTATAAGATGTTAACCCGATTTTGTTCCTTATGTTTTGACTGACTAATGGCTGTATCAGATATTTTCTGGCATTATAAAAAGAAATCAGGATAAATCAATAATTTCAATTTGTAATTTTTGCCATAATCAAAATCATCTAGTCTTAAACTACTTAATAGTTATGTATTTAAAATAAAAATTTTAGTCTTACTCAAGTTAATATGAATAATGTATGTACTAAAATACAAGTAATAATGTACTGAAATAAATTAACCATGATTCTTAGGAAGTTAAAACAGTCCCATTGGGATACATTAACCTATTTATAATTTTTAGCATAGGTATAAAACTATTATAATACTTGAAAGGACTAACTCTAAATATTCCACGAAGTTTTATAATCTTAGTATTCATAACATAGGCAATGAAGGAATTTTTTAGGCAGTCTCATTAAAACCTAATGTTTGTTTCTACAGATTTAATAACCAATAGTTAGTCAAACTTATAAAGAAGTGACGAAAGTTAAAATAAGGTTTTCCTACTATTATTGGAATTTATCATAAGAAGGTATAACATATTGTTATCTGTATATTTAAATGAGTCTTTCTTCAATCAGATACAAAAACTAAGTATGCAATAGCATTTGTTCTTGTTTATACACTTCATGATAAGCATTACGTATTAATACATATGGGAAGCAGGATTCAAGTAAATCCATGGTAAGGAATGGCGACTCTTGAACTATAAGATCAAGTAACAAATAAACTGACTCTCGGTTCCTTATAGCTTCTTTATCAGTCTCCTGTCCGAGACGTAACAGGGAAGAGGATGCAAGAGCCAAAAATTCCTTCATCCTGTCTTCTATATCCCCTTGTCCGCAAATGGTAAATAAAGCACCAAATATGTGGTTTATAGCTGGTGCCATACAATGAATGTTATTTGCATGTCCTTCCAATGAAGGTCTGTAAAAGGAACCTTCGCTTCGAGCAAGTCTTGGGAGAGAAACTGCCACAAACACCATTAACAGACACACAATCAGGTGCTCTTCTTCCTCTAGCTCGGCTTTGTGTTGCCTCAATGCTGTAGCCAGTGTTGGATCGACTTTACAAGATAAACCAGCAGCAGAACACATCTCCGATATAACTCTCATTGGATCTCCACTAGGCAACTGCTGCTGGAAGTCCTTGATGGAACTTATTAAGAATGGTATTCGGCGCTCTAGAACATCAAGTAATGACTCTTGTGCAATTTGACGGAAGCTTAGAATAACACCAATAATGGTCATCCTTTGTAGCACATTGTCTACATGTTGCAGTCTTTTAAATTGTTCTCTCATAATATCTGGCTTATCGAAATTTGTTCTTAACATTTGAAGAACTTCTTTGTTTTGTACAACCAACTTTTTCAGCTCTTGAACCTGGCTAGCAATGTGCCACATAAGGGTTTCGCTCAACAACTTCATACCATAAGGTCCAATAAGCTCAGCCAATGATCTGAGTTCATTTATATCAGAGTACTCCTCAGCATTAAATGGAATTGCACCTTCTGCTGAAAGACTAACAAATGCTTTCTGGTTCATTGAAAAACAAATGCTACCAGCACTTACTCTCCGAAGTAAAATTTCAGAATACCACTGTGTGTACAATGATGCGATAGTTTTTTCTCCATGACTATCCATATTCTGTGTTTGTTGTAATAGGCAATTATTAAAAACTCTGGTTATATCGATGTGCACATAATTTTCAACTGTTTGTAGCACATTCATATATGCCCTAACACTAACTAACAACTCAGAAGGTTTTGCAATTTCACTTGTATCTTGATTAAACATTACCATGCCCACTAATGCTTTGGAGAATCTGGTTTCTAAGTGCTGGTGCAAATATTCTCGTGGTGCAAATGTGTATTCCCAAACATTTACTTTAGAACAGTAATTAATAGCAAAACAAAGCTCTGTTAAAGCCATGTGTAATTTGTCCATGGTAGTCAACTCCTCCCTCGTTTTTCTGTAACTCTCTGCACCTGGTTTGACGATTTCTATAGGGTTTTTCTTGTTTTTGTCTTTTTTCTTGCGATTTGCCAATTGAGCGATAGTTTGAGCACAATGTTTTGGTAGCAGTTTATCGCTCATTGTGCATTGTTCATCACAGATTGTAGTAATTATATTCTTAGCTTCTTTAGCCATTTCATCTAAGAAAATATTAACCACAGAAAGACTTCTTTCTCTTATATGGTGTCTTTCTTCAGGACAAAGTTCATGAGTACAATTTTGGAAATGACTGCAAATTAAGGGGAATGCAATAATGTATCGATTTTGTGCTGGAAATTCCAAGCACATATGAAATTGGCTTTCAAATATCTTGTTATAAAAGCAAAACAAAGACAAATCTGATGTTTCCACCATAATCTCATCAAGGTTGTCAACCATTTTAGTGTGAAAAACCATTTTGTCAATGAACTGTGCTAATTCTCTTTGATCTACAAGATTGAGGGGGGTTTTAGCAACTGATGTGTATGCTTGTAATCTAAACCAGTCAAGACGGAAAGCACGGAAATCAAAGAGCTCATTGTCCTCAACTTGTTTCACATTTAAACTTGCTGCAGTGTTACATAGAGAAGAAAGTATGACACTTTCATCCTCTGGACAAACTTGCAAATTCTGCATCATAAGATTCAAAGCGACAGCATCAAAGCCAGATAGATATTGCACATAGTACCTTTGCATAACTTGACTGTACTTGCGCACTAATGCTCTCAGTTCTTCCATGTGAAATAATAACTCAGGTAATTGACGATCAACCAAATCTTCTGTTACTTTACCTTTGACTTTTTGTGGTGGGTTATCATTATGGCGTAATAGCCAGAACACTTCATCTCTCGAATAACACAATCCTATAAAAATTAGTAAAGCTTTGGGTCCCAAAAGCCCTGGTTGGTCAGTCAAAATTAGTCCCAATTCTTTTAAAGCAGTCCTTAAAAACTTTCTCCTTTCCCTATGCTTATATCCTGCTCTTTGGACTGCATGATGATAACAGTCTTTTACTTCTGATATTCTCTTGCCATATCCTTTAATGCCATCAAAAAAGCTTTGAATATATGAATGGATATAAATCACTTCATCTCTAAACAGAGCTAAAACCCATCCTGACTCCAATGCACTAACCCACATTTTATTTGCATGTTCTTGTTGTAGCATTTGATGGCAAATAGCAAACCCAAATATAATCCACCTTTCCAAAGATTCTAAGGACAGATATTCACATGACATTGTATTTGTTTCAGATGGTTTTAGAAGTAAAGCTGGGTTGCTAACCAAGCTCAATTTCTGTTCTGATCGCCAATGTTCAGCTGTTAGATTTCTCGCCGGATATACATGCCACAATGAGTTCAAAGCATTCATTAACACTTTTTGATGTGGTAAGAATTCTTCTGAAAGTTTTTTTAATGGAGCATCATAGTCCACAATCAATTGTCCAAGGCGTGGGAAGCTCTGGTCAATTTGATTATGGACCATTTCGTGCGCAGCATTAAACAACCCCAAAACAGCTTTTCTATCTTCCACTCTCGAAAGTAAAACCATCAAAGATATATAAGTTGTTACTAAATCCAAATAATTTTTTGTCAATTCAAAGTTGAGAGTCAAGTCTAATGTAAGTTGGCAAGCATCCATAATGTTCAAAAGTTCACACACATTATCTTTGAAGTCAAGAAGATCTACGAAGGTATAGTAATACAAAGACAGAGATTTTATAATTTCATTTCTAATATTTGTTATGGCTTGCAGTCCCTTCACGTCAATGTTAGGAAATCTTCTCACAATGTGTTTTATTGAAGACTCTAACGTCTTATCCGAAAGAAAAGCTGGCTTAGACTTAGCGTCCCCACAAGCCTTCTTAATGTTGTATATTCTTGTTAACATTCCAATACCACGATCATTCAAAATTATTAGTTTTTCAGCCAGCTTTTGCTGACTGATATTGAGTGATCTTGACATGGTGGACATTCTGAAACAAACAATTATATGGTTATTATGGTGGTGTATACATTTGACCAATTAACGTGTATTAGCAGTTCATCGAGCGGAAATTCATCGTAAATATACGACCGATAATTTTTTCCTTATCAAGTTGTTTACTTATAAGGAAACTACCATATGCGGTAATACAGTGCCCAAATTATATACAAAAAATGCTTATTAAACTACACTAAAATATGAGAATGTGTATTATTTTTTTATACTTCTGTATGAAAATCATACCTGCTTTAAATGGTAGATACCTTCTGCAACTTTACTAAGAAGGCATGTTATACTATATTTATGATTATTAAAGATATCCCATGACGTAAAAACTAAATCAACCACTATAAATTATAAAACACACAACAAATACTATCTAATAACAGGAAAAGGGAGTGTCTATATAATAAAGGTACTCTGTAGGGTTGCCGTTCTACAAATTTTAAAGTCCCTAGACTAATAGAAAAAATCCGCCAGAAACAGGATTTTTCTTTTTCTTAAAATCCGCTAGAAGTCCCTAGGTACATTTTCGTGGTACCGTTGGTCTAACTGAAAAATCTTGCCAAATGGTATACAAAGAATACCGAAAATCTAAATCTATAAATTCAGAAAACCTTAAAAAGAGCGGATTTTATTTCATATAAATTAATTATATATAGTGTAGGTTAATGACATGACAACCAAAACAAAAATTATTCATGTACAAAATAAAAAATATTGTAAAAAAAAACAAATCTCTTTTAACCACGTTTAAACATTAGTCATCTTATTAAAAATAAAACAATTAGCTCAGTACGTTCTTGTACCTATATTTCAAAATTAATAGCAAAGTATGGATCCAGATCTTCAAAAAGAACTTCAGCGGAAGTTGAAGCTTCGCCAATGTCTCCAGTTCCCATCTTTGGTTTACCTTTACCGACTTGGTTGACAAGATCTTCGGGAATATCACACGTTGCGCAATTTTTTTTTCCTTAACTGATTTCTAATTAGACGGGTGGAATTTAAACGTTTTTCTGATTGCTTGTTTCACAGTTTGCTTTTAACTACATTCGTAGCACCAAACACGCGTACGAATTCTGCATTTGAGTGCGGTAGTGATAATATTACTGCTGCATTTTTGTATGTCGAAACCTTAGAACATGGTCTCAGGTCGAAACAGAGAAAGGGAATTAACGACATTGCATTGTTAGTTTCATCATCATCATTACAGCCCTTCACAAGTCCACTGCTGAACATAGGCCTCCCCCAAGTAATGCCACAAAGCACGGTCCTGAGCCACCTGCATCCATCGACTTCCTGCATATATTACCAGTTCGTCACTCCATCTAGTGGGGGGTCTCCCTACACTACGCCTACCGGTACGAGGCTGCCACTCGAGAACCTTTCCTCCCCATCGGTTATCGGTTCTTCGAGCTATATGGCCGACCCATTGCCACTTCAGCTTACTAATCCGTTGGGCTATGTCGGTCATTCTGGTTTTACTGCGGATATCCTCATTTCTGAGTCTATCACTCAGAGAAACTCCGAGCATAGCCCTCTCCATAGCTCGCTGAGCGACCTTGAGCGTCCTCATACGGCCAGCAGTGAAGGACCACGTCTCAGATCCGTAAGTCATCACTGGCAACACGCACTGGTTGTACAATCTAGTTTTTAGAGATTAAGGTATACCTGACGAGAAGTCGGTCGAAGTTGGACTTACCTAGTCGGACTATTTGTCCCAGGTAAACGTACTCGTCAACAACTTCGAGCATAGTGCTCCCAACAACTACCGGCATAGGTGTGACATGGACATTAAACATGATCTTTATTTTGCCCATGTTCATCTTAAGACCTATCCGTTGGGAGTCACTATTGAGGTCATTGAGCATAATGCTTAAGTCCTCCAGCGATTCTGCCATAAGGACTATATCGTCGGCAAATCGAAGGTGACTAATGTACTCGCCATTGATGTTAATACCGTATCCTTTCCAGTCCAGTAGCTTGAAAACGTCTTCCGATGCAGCGGTGAAGAGTTTCAGGGATATAACGTCACCCTGTCTTACACCTCTCTGCAGTTGGATAGGTTTCGAGCTCTGGTTCTGTACTCGGATAGCCATCGTAGCCCTACTGTACAAACACTTCAGCACTTCGATATATCGACAGTCAACTTGGCACCGCTGAAGAGACTGTAGCACCGCCCAAATTTCGACGGAATCAAAGGCTTTCTCATAGTCCACATACGCCAGGAAAAGTGGCAGATTGTACTCTTCAGTCTTCTGTAAAATCTGCCGCAGGGTATGTATGTGGTCTATGGTACCTAAGCCTTTTCAGAAACCGGCTTGTTCGGGAGGCTGGAAGTCGTCGAGTCTGCGTGCGAGACGATTCGTAATGACTCTCGAAAACAGCACGTAGACGCGGCTCAGAAGGGAAATCGGTCTGTAGTTCTTCAAGAGAGCGTTGTCGCCTTTCTTAAAGAACAAGACCACCGCGCTTCTGCTCCACGCCTCCGGAGTAATGCCACCATGGAGGACGGAATTGAAGAGCTTCTGAAGGACTTCAAGTACCGGTGTTCCACCCGCTTTCAGAAGCTCCGCTGTAATTCCATCCTCGCCCGGGGCCTTGCCGTTTTTAAGGTGGTGGAGAGCCATTCTAATCTCGCTCAGACTGACGTCATCGGAATAGTGCTATCAGTAGTGATATCATCGGAATAGTGTCGGATAAGACTTGCTCTTGGATCGTTACTCACACTTGCGTGTGGCTCCAACGATGATGTGTACAGCTGCCCATAGAACCTCACAATCTCACTAAGAATCTCAGGTGTCCCGGAAACGATGTTGCCACACTCAGTCTTCAGCCTTGAGAGTTGGCTCCTTCTGGCAGACAGATCTCTGGCAAAGACTTTGGAGCCCTGGTTCCGCTCGATCGCTTTTTTAATACGAGCAGTATTAAAGTTGCGTAAGTCTCGCCGCATGCATTTGGAGATCTGTCTGTTCAGTTGCTTCTATGCTGTCAAATCTGTTGACGATTGCAGCCTCATCTCCCGTCTAACAGCCATGAGATTAAGAGTGTGATTGGAGAGTTTATGTGTTCTTCTGCGGCGGGTCTTGCAGAACTTAGCTCCGACCGCATGGACAGTTTCCACGAGCTTGTCATTCATATCGTCCACTGCATTGCAATCTTGTAGGCACTGAAAGCGGTTACGTAACTCGAGCTGAAAGTTTTCGGGATTCTGGATTAGAGCACGAGGGGGACGGAGCGTTGACTTCATTAGATGAGACCTCTCCAACTTAACGTTTAGGTTCAGTGTGCCTCTAACCATTCGGTGATCGCTGCCAGTTTTCACCCTTGCGATCACTGAGACATCACTGAACTGTTGGCGTCATAATGAAGTCAATCTCATTTGTTAGTTTATGTTCTGGAATTCCCGTGAAATTATATTATATATAGAGTGCTACCAACGGTAGATTACAAAATTGGACATATGATAAATTACTTATTTGAAATGAATTACTTTATAAAAAGTCGCCATCTCAAAAGTCCAAATGTCGATAGAAGTCGCTAAATAATTATTTCTCGCTAAAACGATTTTTTTATCCGCTAAACACTGTTAAAATCCGCTAAATCTAGCGAGAAAGTCGCTAAAACGGCAACACTGGTACTCTGTGGGAGTGTCTCAGAAACATATCCTATATATACTTATATTATACTCTTTGCTCAGAAACGCAAGAACATAGCAATCAAGTTTGACCAACCATAGATTACTGTGTATATACTAGAGAGTTTGACTTTGACATCATAGATAAATAATAAATATATGTAGCAAATTTGACATTTATCATTTACTATAGACAAATAGTGACGGCGGCATCGTTTATTCGAAGAATCAATCTTAATCAATTAAGTTTCTCGTGACTGATTATACCCGTATATATCGATGCACAATATGCAGCAATAAAGTTTTTTTTAAGTTGTTGAACATACCCTTATGATATAAGTATAACTATCATATTTTTTTTATTTTCATTTTGCCATAACTACCTTGTTTTACTCTATTGATTTTCACATCAAACACGTAGTAAAATTAAAAATGTTGTAAAAACGACTTCAAAATAAATAAAATGAGAACATCAATAATGTATTCGAAGTCAATTACATACGCATTATTAAGAATAACTCAAAAACTACTGATCCAATTTATATGAGATAACACGAGAAGCATCAGCAAGAGAAAAAAATCATCAAGAAAATTCCTTGTGGCAAAAATGCAAGAAAGAAAAAGATAGCAAATCATGACTCTTACCGATTTTGAACGACAGGTCGGTCAGCAAGTCACTAAACAAGTCAGCACGCAAGAAATAAGAGATATTTTGTAATTTTTTAGAGCATAATAGTGATTAATTTTTGTAAATAATTGTTTTCCAAAACGGTTAAATGTTCTAAGAGTGACTGTGGTGTTAATAATATAAATAATCCTGATAGTTGTACAATTCACAAGTAAATTCGCAAGATGTCGTTACTGCTATGACGCGTCTATCTTTGGTTAAAATTTATGTTATATAATGTTAAAAATATAGAATTTTCAAATATTTTATTGATTTTGATATTTTGTAAAGATAAAAATCACATTGTTGATAATTTGTATTCATTTTACACAAAATATTTACACGCACGCTAGGGGTTCACTCAACTATATCATAATTAATGTAGATATTTATCTTGAACGTTTATAATAAATCGATATATACTTGTCCACACTATTAGAAGAGGAATGAAATTAAATGCTCGATTAGCGTTCTAAAAACATAATTTTATTTTTCCGTTTGTCTAACAAATCCCCACTAGATTCTATAATTTAAAAAAAATGGTTAAGCTTAATTAGGCGGTTTAGTTGGATTTCAAAGAAGAACTTAGCAATATGCAGC